CTGTGCTCTCCGTACCGGCCAAACGACGCTGGCGCGGGTGCGAGGCAACGCGCGGGCGGGCAGAGGAAGGAGGGAGGGGCCCCGGATGGGCAATTTTCTCCGTCTGTCGAGTTTGCGCATGGAAATACCGGGCCCCAAGGGACCGCAATGTTGGAGACGACGGATTGGACCGGGCGCAAGACATGTGGTCTGCCAGTTTGCACCCCGTGCCGACCTATGCAGCAGCACAGCACACTGCTTTCCCTCTACCGCAGGTACCTATGAAGCCCCACGAAAGGTACTAACCTAGTAGGTAGTACCTGACCTACGTCCCAAGCCCTGGCTTGGTCGCCCGTAGGTAGGCACCTGGCCGTACGACGTGCGTTCATCCGCAGGCACTCCGTCCTGCTATCTAGGGTGACGGGGGTAAAGGTCAGGTACCACGAGAACAAGAGGTGGGAATCGCCCTGTGACCTGCGTCGTGCGAGCCAGGTTATCACGGAGCACCAACCTTGCCTGCCTGGCAAGATACCGTACTCGCCCTCCCCGTCGAGAGCAAACTCCAATCATGCCGGGCGGGGGGACGCCACTTGTCACTGCACTCCTTCTGCAAAGGACGGAGCGCACATGATGCATGCATGATACTTCGACTGGCATTCGGATGTCACTCCGCGGAATGCCGGTGCCAAGAGCCCTGCAGGAACTCACTCCTTGCTGTCATTGTCTGGATATTGCTTCCCATGGCTGTCCAGGCTGCCGGCTACGCTCGCCGTCCTGCACAATTGCACATGCCTGGGTGTGCCTCCTGCAGTGTCAAGTACTGTATAAACTTGGTGGTCACACTCTCTTTGTCTGCAACGCCTCGCGGGCGGACCTGTCTTTCTGCGCCGTATTATGTACAGAACGCCGAACCAGGCAGGGACTGAGACAAGACCTCTTCTCCTTCCAGCTCGTGTTCCTTGAACCGGACCATCCGCGCCCCTGGCTTGTCTCGAGCCGTTTGAGGACGCAGCATTCGAGTAGTGAGCATGCGTCTGCGACTCGGGCCGCGCTCCATCGACCTGCAGGCGGGAAAAGCGACGGGAGGCGTACATAATAGGACCCGTCATGGACTCGCGGGACCCCCGCCGCCCATCCGTGAACCCCGGGCACTATGTTGTCTCAGCCCTCACGGCCGCGGCTGACCTGCCACGCACATGGTCGGCTTGCCCTACGACCCCTTCTCGTCGCTAATATTCGACGGCGACCAATCCTGCAACCCCCACGAGGTACAGACCCCCGTATGCTCGACCGCCGGGTAACCTGACAGCTCGGACGTGCGACCGCCAAAATCTGAGCGTCGGCTGTTCCCAGCGCGCTCTGTCATGTCGCCAAGGCGGAGGGGGGAGAAAAGAACAGCGAAGGGTCCGAGGGGGAAAAAGCAAAGAAAGGCGGACCGCTGGGCAGGGGGAAACGGTGCAAAACGACCGGGTTGCTCTGTGGGTAGGCAACTTCGTTGTACTTTGTATGGCCGGACTATTGGTAACTGGAACGTCATCTCGGTGCAGTCGTGTTCTCCCGCTTCTCCTCGCTTCCAGCACAGTATGATGGAACGCCTCGGAAATCCTGCATATATTGCCTTGCGCATGTAAAGATCCCCTTTGCAACAGCGGCCTTGGCCCTTAACGGCCCCTTTGCGCCTAGGAACGACACCAGCCGGCCGACCGTTCAACTCGTCCCCTCTCCTCATTTCACATATGGAGCCCCGAGAGGCGCCATATCAAGGCCTGAGAGGTATGCACTGCGCAGCCTCTACGCACACCACTGGCGGCCAAACTATCTCGTGCAGCCTTTCGAAGTAGGCATGCCTTTCAGAATTCCTCATTCGTCTTGCTCCACTCAGTCAAGTCCCATCGGCACGATCCTATGCGTGTCACTCGACCATACGAGGCACATGTCATTTGCCACCGAGCTCCAGTTTCCTCCTGCCGTGACGAAACTTGCTTACTTCGTGAGAAGCAATTGGCATGCAGAAGCCACCTAACATCAAGTCAAAATACGGGCCCCTCTATCATGAGTGATCCCCTCCCGGTGGATCAAGGTTACACAACCACCTTTTCCTCCGCCGTTCTCAACCGTTACCAAGCCGAGACATATATCCTCACTATTCATGCTCCTATCGAAACGAACCCCATCATACCGCCTGCAAGAGGTGTAAGAAAGTAGGGAGACCACAAAAATTTGGCGGAAGCCCTAGCCGTTCCCAGGACCGAAGTTGGACCCGAGAAGGGTCTCACCCCTTGTAGCCCTCACAAAACTAACCCAGCTCGCCGGTGATCTTCGCAGGTGGGAGAAGAGGCAACGCTCCCTGCACCCAACGACTAAGCTATTCTGAGTAAATTGCCATCCTCGCCACCGACCATTGGAAGTGAATAGGCTATTGGAGCATATAGGGGACTATTGCTGGGGGGAGGGAGCAGTGAATCAACGGGTGGACGAGCCACGTAGGGGATGTGGTGACGAGCCGGCCGCGGCTGCTCGGTCCCTCATCCGAACGCGCCACGGCAACGGGCAACTACACACGACCCGTCGTCTCAGCATCATCAGCGCCTCCTCGTACTAGGACGGGTTGTGGTTCTTCACCATACACCTGTAAGCTCGCCTCACCGACTCGGGCCTCGGCGTGTTGTGTCGCCCTTGGGAAATAAAAGGTTGGGCTGCCATACGTGGGCTACATAGATTTTGCCTGTGCTCGCTCTCGTCTATAGCCGGAGGATTAGGCTTCGTGTCGCTATACTCATGCCTCGACTATCGTGAACCACTTTCTACTTCCGCCCTAGCCATCCTGCCTCTTCGGGGATCGATCCTCATTCAGCGCTTTCGCCCACGAGCCGAGCCAGCGGCGCAAACCGCCTCTACTCACGTACCATCCCCGTCCACGCGTCCGGGCAGCCTTCTACTCCGCGCTGGGGCGCCGACCGGTCCATCAGATTGAAATCGTGCGCCTCCGTCTCGGATTGGTATCATGCGCATCAACCCTGAAGCGGCTTTCTGCTTCCCAAATCGTGGTCACCGAGTATCATAACTTGTACTTCTAAACAAGAACGAATACCAATATCTAGCTGAAGTAACCCATAATCGTTCGCTGTGCATCCTGAGAAAACTGCTGCAGAAGAGGCATCGGATCCACGTTGGCAGTCGTAAGAAGTGTCTTCGTGGCAGACGCCACACGACTCGCCGTCTGGCCTTGCAGTGTCTCTGCCTCCAGAGCCTGTGCAATAAAGACAAAGATTTTGCTGGCTTGATTCATCACTGCGGGATGACGTCTGAGGAAGAATAGCAGGTTAGCCGTGAGCCCTTGTCACTTTGCGCTTGCCCCTCGCCTTTGCGCTACTCACTGATCAATAAGCTCAGCCAAATATGCATACGCATACGGGGCCGCTTCCTCGTCGTTAGTGACAGGGAGTGTGTCGATCCACTGGGTGATCAACGTTTGTGCATCCCCAACGCTCCCCGAGTTGTAATGCAGAATCTTGGCAATCGCCGCACAAGCGTTCTCGGTGGCGTAGATGTTGTCCTCGTTCCGGGCGTCGGGTACTTGAGTCGCCTGGAAAAGGAAAGGAATCGAGTTGCCGAGGAATTGGGTCCACGCTGCACCGCCGCGATGAGCGGCGACGCCAATGCCATATGCTGCCGCCTGCCTGATCGCCGGAGACGCGTCCCGGCATCCGTCAATTAGTGGCTGCGAGATGTAGTTGGCGTATCGGCTGCTCTCAGGCCCGCAATACTCCAACACATCATCCATGATGCACAGGCCCCACTGCCTCTGGGTGGGATCAGGCGAGGCGAGGAATCCTTCGTAAGTCGACATGAGCTGCTCCCAGGCGGGCAAGAAGGCGGCGCCATGGTGCTTGAAGACGGAGTGGAACGCCTTGTTCATGTCCGACAAGAGGGTCTGGTCGTCTTCGATCGCCATCAAAGTCTCCTCCGCCTCGTCCTCAACATCATCCGCTGTGGCGCCCTCCCTTTCCTCGGCACGTTGAGCGACCCTGTCCTTATAATCCTCCAGCGCAGAGTGGACCGAGTCGATAAATCGGCTCATGTGTACAGGAGTCAAACAATCCTTGCCAACAACCTGGACTGACTCGTAGAAGCATTGGTACATCTCAGCGAGCGTCTCGATGGAGGGCTCGGCAGTAAGGACTTCGAGCAGCTTGTCCACGGTTGCATTCCAGAGCCCGGCCAGCTCGTTGGACGGGCAGCCGTATGCTTTCTTGTATGAGCTCAGGAGCTGCGGTACCAGCTTTGACGAGATGTAGCGGACTGGGTCGTGGAAGAAGAAAGCTAGGCCGGGAAGGGCAATCTTCTCCATGATGTTGGCAACGAATGGAGCGAAAGCTCCCTCCAGAACCTGCGCGTATACGACGAGAAGCTCGATGGCCATGTGTTTGTCGTCCATGGTACTCGTGCGGATACCAATCATCTTACCCTTGAGCGGAACAAATTCCCAACCGTCCTCTCCGTTCATCTGCTCCGCCTGCTCGTCGTCATCCAGCAGCTGTATGTCGGCTTTGGCCATGGCGAGCTCTAGAAGCGGGGGCATGACGCTGTCCAGGAACGGTACGAAGTCCGAGCCAAGCACTCGGCACATCCTGCCCCAGCAATGCATGAGATACTGGGCCTGAGGGTCGTCGGCATCCGTGATGCTGGTCTGGATGTTGGCGAGGAGGTTGACCAGAGTCATGGCGTCGGGGCCGAGCCTTTCGCGCCCGACAGCCAGAGCAATGAGCGTGGCACACTCCATGGCTTTGGCGCGGAGAAGCCTGTACTCCTTCTCATTTTGGTTTTGGAGGACGTTGACGAGCAGAGGCATCAAAGTGTCGTAGTACTTCGCGAAGGCTGCCTCGGCGGCATCAGCAATGGTTGCGATGGTTGACAGGGCCTGCTCTTGGACATAGCGCTTGTCGCTCTGAAGAAGCTGGAACAGATGAGACAGCAGTTCGTCGAGATATGGCTCGAGGATGGACTTCTCAGCCTCTTCACAGAAATTGACCAGGGCAGCAGCGGCGTGAGATTTGACACGCGCTTCAGGAGAATCGAGCACCGGGACAATGGCCTTCAGAACCCGGTCGTAGAAGTCGGTCTGCATCTTGGGAGCGAAATCCGTGCTCATCTGGCCCAGCGCATTGCAGCCAGCCCAGCGCACACGGGGATGGGCGTCTTGCAGTGCTGGAATGACCAGGTCAAGAACCTGGCTGAGCTCTCCGATCATGAGATCACGACAGCCTTCCGAGATGGCAGAGATGGCCATCAAAGCCGCATGGCGGTCCCTCCAGGCCATCGATGTCATCATTCGGGGCAGCCAGTTGAACGTCGGAGCTAGGATAGTCTGGCCACCGAGCTTGTTGGCGAGGCGATCCATCGTTTGCTCACCAGCGACGTGGTTCTGATCACTCTCGTCTTGATCAAGCTACAAAGCTTGTCAGTAAACGACACTGTGGCCGAGAAAGATTTATGTCCCACTCACATCGTCAGAGGCCAGCCACTCTGCGGCATCATCGTCATCTTCACCTAGATCGGTCATCAAGCTCAGACACTGGGTGATCATGTCGGTCGTATAGGAAGCGTCTTTTCTGCACATGGACGGTGCATAATCCGCAAATGTTGCCATGAGTTCAAGGGCATTCTGCCTGCAGACATTGTCGAGCTCCTTGTCCTGGATGACAGACACGTTGAACTGAACGAGGTTTTGGAACAGATGCTTGAACATCTTGGGCGCCGTCTCGGCCAAATCGATGAGCGCGAGGAGAGCCTTGCTCAAGTCCTCCGAGTCTTGAGACTCCTTGATGGGAGGAAGAATATTGAGGACGTCCGGAATAAGGGCGTAGTATTTGGCCTGCGATTTCTTGGTGATGGTTCGGAAGAAGGCAGCAAAGGCCTCCATAGCGGCGAGACGCACCTGCAACAAACAAGAAGAACCTATTGTTAGCTCACCATTCCCCCGTGGCAAATGGGCAAGGGCTCGTAACATACCATGACGGCGTCATCCTTGAAACCCTTCTGGAAAGCCTGGAGGACGGCCTCTTCATGCTGCTTCTCGATGATGCTGGGAGTTGTGGTGAAGACGCGAAAAGCGTTTTCTCGCTTCTCAGCCTCGGGTGCCTGACTGAGCTGGAACAGGGCACCCAGAAGTTCCGGCCAGGCATCATCTGCCGATAAAAAGAACGTTAGCGCTCAGGTGCACAGACGTGTTCGCCAGAACATTGCGTATTGACTAACTGTTGTCTGTATACTGGCGCGCTACCTCGGCCACGGCATCGCTGATTTTGTTGCGGACCATGCGATCGGCCTCGGTGGCAAGGGTCTCGAGAAGCTTTTGGCGGATGACCATGGCCTGGTCCTTGGACAGAGAGTAGAACATGTCCACATTCTCACCGGACTCAATTTTCCGAGTTTTGGAGGCGATGCGTCGGAAGATGACGGCGGCAAATGAGCGTGTCTAGTGAATCCGAGGTCAGTTACTACACGGAACCTATGGCGAGGGCACATCTTGAGCCAGGGCGGCTGGGCTCTCGCAACAGGGCCTTGGCAAGGGCCTTGTTGGAAGCACTTACCGCGTTGTCCCCAGCACCCTGAATCTGCTCCGCCAGGCCCATCAGCAACACCTCGGGCCTCGTCCCGGTCCAGCTGTTCTGCAGATGCTCTTCTGCCTGGGAGCGGATGCCATTGTCGGCGGACTGAAGGGCCTGGAGCAGCTGGGTGAGCTCGGCGTGCACTTCGGCGGAAAGGAGGGACATGATCGCGACGGCTCGAGGGCGGCGGCGCCGTGCAACCTATGTCTGGTGGGTGCAACAGCTATATCGCGGTCGGGAGTTTCGGCTGGATCGCGCAGAGAGGCGGACTGCAGAAAATTGCGGCGCTCGACGACCTGGAGCGGCGGTTGGAAAAGAGGAGGAAAGGCTCCCAGACGGAGATGGACTTTTGGTGGGCGGGAGAAAGTGGGGGAGGGGAAGTCTGCGTCCCGGTCAGTCAAATGCGCGCCGCCGCGTGGTGCCTGTCGAAGCCAACCAGCCAACAACAGCCCGGGGGGTTGTCAATAACTGTGGCGTCAGGTAGGCAAGGCAGGGCAAGGCAGGGCAAGGCAGGGAAAGGCGAGGTGGGAATTTCGTACGGTAGATATAGGTGCGTATCGCTTGGCCTTGTGGCCTGGTGGGTTCCGTCTGCAGCGGTTGAGGCCAGCTGCTGGCTCGCGTTACTGTGACGGGCAGACGGCAAAGGGAGACGACGGCCTTGGTGGCAGAACAAAACAACGAACGACGGGCAGTCAGCGGTTGCGATGGGCAGGAAGCGTGGTGGGAATTCGACAATTTTTTATTAGCCCGGGGAACACCAACACCAGCCACAAAGGCCCAGCGCGTTCAGCGGCTGGTTGTACCAGGCCCAGGTAGGTGTGTGCAGCTGCTGTACTGTGCTAGCGCCACCGCGAGATTGGAACAGGCGCAGTGTGCTAGCCGATACTTTGGTCGAGGTCGCGGGGCACGTCCGAAGTGCTGTAGTGTACCTGCCTACAGTACCTCAGGTAGCTGGAGAGCTTCACCCTCCGGGCTGGTCACCTGCGCCGTCCGAGCGCGCGACCTTCGAGTATATCCCGAATGCTGGCTTTGTCTCTAACAAGCCATTCCGTTCCTTTGTCTGTCTGCCCCGGCCGGGCGCGCCGCCGCGGTCACCAAGCCGCGCTGTGCATGGCGATTCCATCTTCTTGTCAACGTACAAGGCCTTGCCTGGCGGCGCCATGTCCCAGCGCGCGCCCGCCTTTGATGTGCGACAGACCACGTCGGACAAAGGACGCCAAAGTACAGACTTGGCACATGCGCAATTCCCGCGGGACACTGACGGGAGGTGATGATAAAGCCGACCTGAGCATGCACACTTGGATGGAGGGCGGCGTCGCGGCGCTCCACAGCTGATAGACTCGGGAGCTCAACTGGGACGCTCTTGGAAGGGGGCGCTCGCCGCCGCCCACTGGAATCGGCCAGTGCTGAAGCGCGGGGTAGCGACAGTGACGTTTTGGCGACACCAGACCTCAACCTTGTGCACTCCCCACCGTCATCTCATGCTCGTCCAACGGTCGCTCAACCTAATGCGTGCAACAAGTAACCAGCCTCGCATCGAAGCCGCATACATCTAGTCACCAGGCATCCCCACGATTGCTTGCTCTTCAGACGCGTAGCTGAGCAGAATCCCACCTCGACGTCGCCGGTTCTTCCGGGGGGGTTCGCGCCGCCATTGTCCAGCTTCTCTCCCCTCGTCCGTCGCCACTCCTCCAGGGCCTGTCCACACATATACTCCCGCAAGGCTGCCCGCAGAGCTTCAGCACAGTCGTGGAAAACTCCCCCACGCCTCTCTCGGCCTGGAATTCTCGAGAGGCAGCTGCCTGCGATTGCGGCGGCCACTCCGTGCTGGCCCGAAGCTAGAATGGAGGCATCCTCGAGCGCCGACCCGAGAGACGCGGGAGATGCGGAGGTCACGGCGCGAGGGCAAGCTATAAACGTCCCCAGCGCCTCGTCGGCCGGCTCCCACCAGTCTCCTCCGCCACAGCGTTCGCCCTCCTCGTCCAGTATAAACAAGGCGGCACATCGCCAGAGCTTCGCCGAGAACCTCCGCAACATGCCTCCATCCCCTCGACACCGGCACCCGTCATTGACGCAAGCTGCGGTCCAGGACCTCATGAACCACCCGCCCTCGGGCAGCAAGCATACCAACCCCCGATTTGCCGGGCGAGACTGGCGTGACATCGCCATTGGGGAGCTCACCTCCCCTGACGATATACGCTGGATCGCCATGGACAGCAGTGTCGAAGAGGCGACCATCGTGAGTGCTGCCCTGGCCGCGTGTTCTTGGAGGAGTCGGGGTTCCTCGCCTGCAAATTCGTTGCTGCCTATGTGACGTCGCGATCTGACCGGCAAAACAGGCACTGCTCAAGAGCAAAACCAATGTCGTTCTCATTCGAGAGGACGCGTCGTCAACCACTGCAGTTTCCACCTTCGACTACAGCGACTTGAATGCCTACCTTCTCGTGGTTGTTGGGCTGTCTCGGCCCGATGGCGAGCAACTGCAGCTGTTCAATCGCATCATGAGTACCGCCCAACAAGGTGGGCAAATTGCACTCCGAGAAATCCAGCCCATCTGCAGGCAGGACCCCATTGTCAATGTTGTCTCCACGAGTAACCTTGCGCATGCCATCGAGATACTTGGGAGCGGCATCCACAGAGTCTTGGTAACCGGTGCCTCCGGTTCGGTTGTGGGGGTCCTGAGCCAGCTTCACATGGTCGACTTCTTTTGGAACGAGGGAGTCAACTTCCCAACCATTGATCGCCTATACCCGGTGCTTCTGCGCGATCTCGGCATCGGGACACACAAGATTATATCGGTCAAGTAGGATACCTCAAGCGTGACAGGCACGAGGAACAGTCAAGGCTGACGCGATTGCTAGCTCGGACGCGCCTCTTTCGGACGCTTTGATGCTTATGAACGATGAAGGCCTCACAAGCATTGCCGTGGTTGACAACGGGCAGAACGTGGTTGGAAACATCTCCTCCAAGGACGTCCGACACCTGACGACGACATCGAGCGCACCCTTGCTCAACGACTCTTGCATGCATTTCATCTCAGTCATACTGAACGAGAGGGGCGTGGAGAAGGGGCGGGACACGCTACCCGTCTTTTACGTGAACCCCTACTCGACTCTGGCGCACACGGTAGCGAAGCTCGTTGCCACCAGGTCGCATCGGATGTGGGTTGTGGAATCCGCATCGCCGTCGCCGTCGGCGCCGGCAACACCGCTGATGGGGCCCCAAACCCACGTCAGCGGTGCTCCGCCGTCAAACCAGGCACCGCCGTCTCCTGTGCCGGCCGTCGCAGTCCCTGCCTCGGCCTTGGCCGGAGCACGCATCTCCGGGAAGCTTAGCGGCGTCGTCTCTCTGACAGACATCCTCAACATGTTCGCCAAGTTCAGTGGGTTGAACCCGGCAGATCCGGGGGAGCAAAGGGCCAGACGCCGAAGGAGCTCGAGCAGTTCTGTGCGGCCGAGCTTAGAGTCGTCCCGGGCGAGCATCGACGTTCGCCGGTAGCGAGAAGACCAATTGCGCCGGGGGGGTTCGGGGGCGAGTTGGCGACATGTCTACGTGCGGGAGCTATGGTTCGCTACGTAACCATCTCGACAAGGCTATGCGCGTGAATGAAGAATGTTGCTCGGGAGAGTTGTGTTAGCTGTAATGCCAGAAAGGACTCGATTGCTTGTCAATTTGTCCGCTTCATCCGCTTGTGCAGGCTGGTTGCAGCGAGATCGAGGGCGCCCAGCCGCTGCTCCAAGCTTGTGCTGCTTTTCGTACCATGGCTTACAATCGAGCATGCCGTTTTACTGCTGTAGACTATTGAGGCCTGACCTGTGTACGTGGTACCCATGCCCGAGATCGAAGACCTGGCAATGACGCTTAGACGGGGTCGGGTGCTACGTATTATTGAACGGGCTGTGGCGCCCTTGCGTGGCGAATTCCGCTCCCCGCGTACCGTCGATGCCGCGTGCGCCACCCGCCAGCGGGTCATCAGAGAGCTCATGTCCTGCACCCGCCGTGCATGTCCATTGTTCATTTGTCGTTGACTCACTCGCCTCTCAGCGCTCGACCTGTTTCATCCTTTCCCAGTCGACATCCTCGCAACGAGCCGGAACTCATTTCTCTCTCATCGCACTGCCGACCGGATTATCTTGTTCTCGAGTCGTTTGCAATTTCCTGAGCGTGCTCTCTCGGGTACTACGCGCTCGATCGCAGCGAGCGACACCATCCAGGCTGCTCTCTCTCTGTCCCTATAACGCCACGGACGGGGCAGACCAGTCGCCATAGCATTTCTCACAATCACCTTCAACCACACCTCCTCCTTCGCCCTCGGTGCTGCCTGGCCGGGGCCACGAGAAGAGTTCTCGAGCGACTGCACCCAGCAGCAGCAGCACCACCACCACCACTACCACCACCAGCAACGGCAGCAGCACCAATGGAAGCGTCGCTGCGCTCATCGTCCCCTCGCATCATCGCCACCAGGCTTGCACCACGACATGGGTGACGAAGACGACGCCGCCAGCACCAGTTCGGCGCCCCGAGGCGACCTCGCCCAGGCCCCGAGACTCGGCAACTTCGACAAGCTGCAGTGCCGGACCGTCTCGCTGCTCGTTCCTGCGCTCACGTCCGATGCAAGGACCTCATCCTCGTCGGCCCGCGCGGACGGCTCGCTTGGCACTCCGGCGCCGTTGGCTTCGCCCCTCAAGCTCGGAGACTTCCGTCGAATCGTCTCGCTTCTTAAAGTCGGCGATGGCATGAAGGCCCATCGTGAGAGGAGCCTGTTGGACAGCCAAGAGCTCCAGCAGCCGGCCAGTATCGAACATGCCGCTCCCCCTCCGACTCCTCCCCCACGATCCATCCCGATCCCTCCACGTTCTGCCGGCAACGGGCATCGCCTCGCCGGATCAGAAACCGATGCTCCTTTGGCCACGGACCCTGAAACGGAATCCGGGTCCTCTCATGCAACTCTTGACGCCTCTAGTACTCCCGGCACCACGCCTCCAGACCCAGAGTTCGGCTCGGCTCGACGCTATGCATTATCGCAGCTCCCTTCAGCAAAGCGGACCGCCGCAAGGCCTTGTGCGCTGGAGCAGATCCTATCCTACCAAATGACCAAATATGGTCCACTGATTCCCGTGTACGGCAGGGCAGTCTCCAGGGCCCAAAGACACAAGTCGCTGACGAACGGCCTCGTGCGACATCGGGCATTGGACGCGGAGAACGCACTGCTCTTCCCGGCCACGGCGTCCAACGGCGTCCACGTATTCCTCGACATGTCCAACATCAGCATCAGCTTTCACAATGCCCTCCGAGACAGGTACTCCGTGGGAGGGGACGCTCGCTTCGTACCTCTCCCCCCTCTGGATCTGCCGTTCCTCACGGAGATTCTCGTGCGCGGCCGCTCAGCCATGTCGCTCAACGTCGGGTGCTCCGTGCCCCCAGGGCGGGCGGAGCCGCGATTTGTCCAAGAACTGCGGGCCCTGGGCTATCACATTGACCTGAGGGAGCGAAAGCGAGTGCTGGAACCTAGCGCGCCGCGCCGCACACACCGCGGCCAGGCACCCGCCACGTTTGCGACCTCCTCGTCCGACGAAATGTCGTCAGCGACCGCCGCAGCCGCCACCGTCCGCTACGTAGAGGACCTGGTGGACGAGGTGTTGCAGACTCGCATCGCCGAGTCAGTCATGGAGTTCTTCCAGCGCCAGGGTACACTCGTCCTCGCAACTGGCGACGCTCAGCCAGCTAAGCACTCGGACGGCTTCTTGACCTACGCCAACCGGGCTCTGAAAATGGGCTGGAACGTTGAAGTAGTGTCTTGGAAGAACAGCCTGTCCTCGCATTGGCAGAATCCTGCTTGGAACACCAAATGGGGCAACAGGTTCCGTATCATTGAGCTGGACCCCTTTTTGGATGAGCTGCTGGCTTGTCCCACAACATCAGTGCGATCATCATCAATCACGGGAGCATTGTCGCGTGGCGTTGTCTAGCGGGGGAAGCGTCAAGAACAGTGAATTCTTGCACCACAGAAAGGAAGCATAATGTGGCAGCCGTAAACTTCTGAGAATAATAAATGACATAAAATACTGAAATAACAGCTAAACATCTCCATGAGGCATGTACGTTTGGGGATGTAGAGATCGCAACAACAACGCAAGTGAGCTGGCTGCCGCCCGACACAAGGCAGACGAAAGCGAAAGAACCCAACGTGAAAGGGGAGTGGGTAGCCAGTAGTCGCCCAGAGACTCTATTGCCCACAGTGAGAAGCCCCAATGATACCCCAGAAGCCTTCCGTGTTGAAAGTGCCCGCGTTGTTTTCCTTCCATCGGTCGTTGAAGGCCGAAAAGAGGATAACGTCACCGGGGGTGCTTGAAAACTCTTGCCTGATGGAGCTCAACGCCGCCTTCTGGTTCTCCAGACTTGGCACTGCCAGTCCATTGCGCTGTCCCTTCATCGGCCAGCCAGTCTCGGTGACAACAATGTTCTTAGGGCTGGGCAGTGCGTCTTTGACGCCGCCCACCGTCTTCCGCAGCCACTGCCCAGCTTCGGACGCTGTCACATCTTTGTCGAAGAAGGCGTGTGCGTTGATGGCGCAGTAGTCGGATGCACTGCAGAGCTCGGGGTGTGCCATGGCGGCCACGAAGGTGTCGACGGTCACAACTGGTCCCTTGTACCCGGCTTCGCGGAGTGTCGAGCGGACGGACTTGACTGCCGACACGACCTGCTCGGGGGTAGCTTTCCCGTTGTTGACAAGCTCGTTGCCGACACTGACTGTGTGAATCATGTCCCAGTCTCCATTGATGGCAGAAGTAATGATGTTCGCCTCGTTCTCGACTTGGTCCGGGTCCCAGATGCCGACAAATAGCTTCATGCCATGAGACTTGGCACCGGAGTAAACGTTTTGGACTTGATTGCAATCCGTGCCGTAGATGCGCACCAAGGAATATTGCTTGGCCAGGTGGGCCAGGTCGCACTCAATCTCCTCCTTCGATTTGCACTGATGATCAGCTCGGTACGGCGCATACGAGATTCCATAGCGCTCGGACGTCGGGGGGGCGGAGTTCGAGCCTGATTGATCGGACTGTGTGCCGTGGTGTGACTCCTTGGGGGAGGGGATGTCGGGAACCGTGGCCGCAGTTGGTTCTCCGTGCGTGGACGAGGCCTGAAGCGAGGTCCTGGAGCCCTGCGACGAGGCATTGCTATCCTCTGCCGGCTCCGGAACAGGTGGCTTTTGGGACTCCGGTGCTGGTGGCGGCGGCAGCGGTGCTGCGGCAGCAGTCGTCTCGCTGCCGTGGGTTGAGCTTGCCTGGGCCTGTGTGGGAAATAGCAGGGTCTGTGTAGAAAGGGCAGCGGTCACGGAAGCCTTCGCCGCTGAAGCCAGGTTGTGGCCGAGTGCCAACGACGTTGGCAACAGTAGCACGTCCTCCGTGGCTGTCTCGACTGGCTTGCCATCGCTGTCGACCCAAAGGAGAACTTGGGGAACGCGCGTGGGCTCGGTCACTGCCGAGTCATAGATGATGATGTCGTCACCGTCGGTGCCATCGCGGCGCAGCAGCACCTTGCCTGCTGGGCCGTCATATATTAGCGCAGCTCGTTCAACGACACGAAAACCTTGAGGCATCAGAACTTACTCGTGGGGTGGCCGACGGCCAGACGTCCCAGCACGACAGCTGAGAGAAGGAAGCGTCCCAGGGCCATTGAAAAAGACGATGGAGCGGCAACGACAAGAACGTAGGCAACAAGTAAATTGCTGGAAAGCCTTCAATGCGCCGCTGCGCGTGAGAGAGAAAGGGGTCGATGCACCAAGATCGAAAGAAAGAATAGATGGACTGATAGAATCGCAGGTAGCGAGCGACAGAAAAGGAGCGTAGCTATCCTAGGGTACGAGATGGTGTGGAGGGATGAACGAAGGACAAACACCAGAAACAGAGTCGACAGCGAACAGCCGGATGTGAGACGCGGCAGACGGCAGGAGAGGTCAGACGAGCACCGGGGAAGGACGAAGCCGCCGCATTAAAGGACCGGACAGCCGGCACAGAGGTTGCTGGGGTTGCTGGCAGCACAGCGGCAGTTGCGCCCAAGGCGGCCACCAAGACTGCTGCGCGCCCAGTCGCCAGGAGCGGCCGTCTTGCGCGCATCAATAAACATGGGGCGGCGAGGAATGTGCCATGCGGTGCCGGTCGCGGGGTTGGAATGTGAGGGTTCCACGATGGAGGTGCGATGGGGGCCGCCGGGCGGTCGAGAGACAAGGGCAAAGGGGCGAGTGAGCGAGCGCCCTTCAACCACCAATCTTTTTGTCTCACCAGTTCCTGCCTTGCCTAGGCGCCGCGCCGTGCCTCCTTCTTCCAAGCTGCCATGCTGCTTCTTTGTCGTTGCCCTGCTCCTTCCCTTGTTCCCCTTTCTCCCGTGTCGCGCTGCTGAGCACAGTTGGTGCTCATACGTCACGACCTCGTGGGCAGCCTGTCGCACCCGTCGTCCCTGTCAACCATGTCTCGATCGCGATGCGCCGCAGGCGTCTCTGGCCAGGGAACCCGTCTTCGCATGCCGCGAGCCTTGCCGTTGCCTCGGTGCAACCAACGTCTGCATAAGTAAAGACCCCGTGGTGGCGATTGCATCGTCTCTGCTCGCACCTGAGCATCTTGAGTTGGCTGTACGAACGCATGCTCGCATCATCGTCACGACGCAACAAGCGCTCGCAGAAACAAGAGAGGCTGGTATCCATGTTTGCCGGGGGCTGGGCAGCATGCCGAGACTGCGACCCCATCGTCCAGGGCCCATCCGCCTCCAGGCCGCCTCCGGGTCTCAGCCGGCTGCGTTGCGCGTCGCATCAGAGGGGGTCACGAGTCCCCTGTATTGAGCTTCCCAACTCTAACGCGGTGAATCAGCCGGGCGCACAATGCAACTTCTATTTATTAGTCATTAATAGTTCCATTTGAGGTGCAGTATGCCTCTTTTGTACAGCCCCGTGCCGTCCTGGGGTAACCATTGGTGTCCTCCTTTCGTCTCGTTGGCCCATCCGGGCGCTTCTCGTCTCCAGGACCCTAACTCATATCACATCAGCACGCTCTGCCGCGCAGGTACCGGAGGCACTGCTTCGAAACCCTTCTGCATTAGCCTGTCATGCCGACTTGCTACTGCCTTTGCGGGTCATGACTTTGGTAATAGCGTGCCGAATCGTCACGCCCGCCTTCTCAATGTCCTTCTTCGAGAGGGCCGACGTGATGCACACCTTGAGTGCCGGTTGTGCGTACCAGTCGCCATCCTTGGCAGCAATGGTCTGGTTGTAGGGCCTATTCTTGAACCTTGCAACCAGGACGCCATTCGCTAGTGCCTGCGCCGCGCGTAGTTAGCATAAGGGGCCCAGTTCCTTCACGGGTCTGCTCGGTGCCTGCGCGTGCTACGCGACTCACCTCATCGGCACATTCCATCAGGAGGCGCTCCTGGTCGTCGACGCTCAGCCTCCTCGCCTTGATGACCTCGGGCTTGAGCACCAGGAGCATCACGGGGTTCTCGGGCGCGCTGGTGCACACAACCCAGTCGCTGCGAGGGTCAAGCTGGGCCTTCATCGCCTTGACGTTCTCCCGGCACTGCGTCAGGATATCTGGGTTCGACTGCAGCAGGTGCACCGTTTCGCTTGCCGTCATGGCCAGCATGGCTGGCAGAGCGGCCGAGAACGTGTACGCCGACGAGGTGATGCGCTGGTGCTCTACAACGTCCTTGGTTCCGCAGCAGAAGCCACCACCGGCACACAGTGGTCCCGACAAGGACCCGACAATCATGTCTACCTGCTGGGGGTCCACGTTTTGTGCTTCCGTGAGGCCGCGGCCCGTCCGGCCGAGAACCCCAAAAGACCATGTCTCATCGAGGATGATCCGGAACTTGTACTTTTCCTTGAGCTCGACCAGCTTGGGCAAATCGATGGAGTCGCCCAAGGTCTCGAACAAGCCTTCGGTGACAATGAACCTCCGAGTCAGCTTCTTGGCCTTGGCCTGCTCCTTGACGACGGCCTGCATAACCTTTTCCAAATGGGCCATGTCTCCGTGGTTATACCACCTGATGTGGCTCCGCGAAGCCTGCACTCCCTTGCGAATGGAGTAGTTGACCGCCTTGTCGGCAATGATGACATCACCGCGCTTGCAGAAGGCGGGGATAACGCTGGAAATGGTCGAGAAAGACTGGGCATAGACTATGCAGCCTTCTGTGCCCAGGAAGCTGGCAATGTCCGCTTCTGCCTTGACGTGGACATCTTGGGTGCCGTAAAACTGCGGCGGCCCGCAGGGTCCGACTCCGTAGGTACGCAGCGTCTGGATCGCCTTCTCCTTGATCTGCTCGTTGGCATTGAAATTATAGAAGTTGTACGACGCGAGGTTGGTGACGGTGCGGCCGGTAGCGAGCTTGACCTTGGGACCAGGAGGCCTGGGACGAGGGGGGCTGTCAGTCTGCAGGGCCTCGACACGATGGAGCAGCAAGGCAACCGTCGAGAAAAGGGTACGTACCCAACAATGACGGGGACTTTGTCGCCGTCGGCCTCCTCGAGCGATGTTCTCTCCGCAACGAGCGGTTCGGGGGTCCATTCGTCAACCAGCTCGTCGATTTCCTGCGCACCATGATGCGTCAGCGGCGTGGTCGCACCAAACGTGGCGACACATCACCTACGTCTTCTCGCAGTTTCACGTAGTTGAGCTTATGGGTAGAGTAGGAAGGCGACAGCAGGTATCGGATAAAGAAGAGCACGAGGATGAGTTCGATGGCGGACCGCACGGGGTCGTTCTGGTAACTTGACTGGATGTAGCGCACGAGCACCGCCGACCCGGGCACCTTTTGGAAATTGAGCCACGCGTGCTGCAGAGTTTGGCCCAGCCGGGCTTGTAGTGCCTCGAGTTCCATGTATGCGTCGGGGGCGGAGAGGGCGACGGGGAGACGGGGAGACGTCGAGGGGGAGTGTCGAGGTGGACGCTCGCTTCCGAGGTGTCTGTGTCTGGTCGACAATGCACGGGAATTGGTGGTGGCGCGTGGACAGGAGCACACAGCCTGGAGAGGTGCATTGCATTCGGGTGCGCCGGGCCACTCCACTGCATGAGGTGGGAAAAAGTTGGAACCTGCCTATCAGGGGCGCCTGCTGGGGCAGGGCCGGCCCCTGACAGGCTCCCCCAGCGCTCCCCCGGGCCGTCGTCAGTGCCGCCCGCGCCGAAGCAGGCGCGTCTCTGAAGTGCGCGCGCCCGACCGAGGTGGATCGGGAGGCTGAACTGGTCCAGCAGCCACCGCCCACAGCGCTGCCTCAGCCGCGACTTTTTGCGAGGCATGGCCCCTGACGGACGAACGAGCAGCAGCAGAGGGCCGCTGTTGCCACAGGTCCCGCACGTCCCTCCATCATGGGCCGTACCGTAACCACCGCAGCACCGTCCGACGCCGTCCGTACCAACGTACCTACCTAAGGTACCTAGGTACCTAGAGGTACGTAACTTAGCAGCCAACCCGGGCAGTGGCCCAGGTGCCTGCACATGTCTTCATTTGCCCCGTCTGCCGCCATCGGTCGGTCTCTACGCCATGGCCCTCATGAACATACGTGCAAGGCAAGGAAGGCATGAGAACCCAGGTCGCACCCAGTATCATGCATGCGGTCATGTGCATTTTGCGTCCATGCCGAGTTTAGGCATCCTGATGCAGGTACCTACCTAGTACCTACCTGGATAAGGCAGCCAAAGCATCCGTCTACTTTCGCGGGGTTATACCAGGTGGCAGTACAGCAGCGATGGTGCCTCTCTCGCTTTACGTATCAGACAACACCAGGGCATGCAAATGTATTTCCTTGCCTCTCGCAACTAATGGTTTCTACAGGCGCACTCAATGATTAGAACAAATGCAGACCAGCCAACAATACCCATAGCCCAGCAGTGCCATAAAACCCACACAAAAAATCAACAAGGCGGTCTCCTGTGGAAAGCGCCCGGGCCCGCGGCTGGCTTACAACGGGCCGTCGAGCCCGCATTTGTGGCCTCCAACCTCTGCCATTTTCCCTCCCCCTGAGCCTGCATATTTGCAGCAAGCCGCGAACTCCGCTTCAATGTACATTCTTTAGAACAACTTGATCTTAGCCCCTCCCGTCGCAGTGGCCTTGCCGCCGCCAGTAGCGCCGTCCGTCGACGTCCTTGTCAGGGCGCCCGTGTATCCATCGCGGCCCGTGCCCGTCGCGGCCGTTCCGTTGGTGTTCTTGTTGTTCTGGCCGTTGGGCTGCATCAACCGGAACTGGTCCTTCAGAGGCATCGAGTTGCCCAGATTCCGCAACACGTCAGGCTTGAGCTGCTTGCCAGCAACGACAGGCCCGGCGATGAGGCCAATGAAGACGGCGAGCAGCACGAAGAAAAGGATGGCGTATCGAATGACACGTCGTCTTCTCAATTTCGACTGCTTCATCGAGTAAATTGGCGGGCGGATTTGACGACTACATTGCGGTTAGCCAGTCTTGTCGACGTTATGCGCCGCGCCAGGTGAGTCACGTACCTTGGCCGAAGCCAGAAAAGCATCATAGAATGCAGCTTGTCCACTTGCGGAATTGCCAGGACTGGAATCATGAGGAACAAAAGCCAGTGTCCCAGTATGAAGTCAGCAGCGAACATGCTGAGCTCCGTGATCTTGCACAGGAACTCGCGAGCAGGCTGCGACATCGAGTGCCAGCCCATAGAGTACCATTTACCCGTCCAGAAGGCAATATTGGACTGGTCCGTCTTCATCTCTCGGGTGAGCGCCAGCGACACGATCAGCTTAAAGATAAATCGCTGGATTGCTACGACGCAGATCATCCCAGCCAGGGTCCGGGCAAAGTTGAAACCCTCGAGGACGAACATGGCCTCGAAGAAGATGAGCATGAAGACGGCAGCAAAGGCATGAGCGATGGCAGCCAGGACGCTGCCAAACTTCTTGCAGCACATGCTCAGGAGAGGACCCATGCAGCAAGCCATACCAAACATGGCAGCAAGAACTCCGGCATTGATGGCGATAGGGGCGACGGCCACAACCAGGACACGGATGACCGAGTCGGTAGGCTGCGTCTTCTTGTTATCGTTGTTCTCGGGTATGACACCGGTCTGCGCGTTGATGAACAGGTAGGGGATCAGGGTCCAGACAACCTGCAAGAGCGGAGTGAGAATTTCGGTGAAGAAGATGTTAGCGATGGCGGCCCGGGGGACATCGGCGGACAGCTTGGCAGACGCCTCGCCCAGTGTCTTGCGCTTGTAGCCCGTGATTCTCGTTCGCGACAAGCGGCAAAAGGCGATCCAAGACGATGCATGGCTTCGAGAGTTGCCGCGCGAGAGCCAACGAAGGAAGTCGCGATAGTCAATGAAGAAGTCGTTCCAAGCGAACTGGTGAGGGTTGTACAAGAACGGAGAGATTGTAAGGCCCAGCAACGTGATCCAGAAATAGGTCAGTGCTGCTTGCCAGGCGGTTACGGTCGCAAACAGAAGCATCATCAACAGCCTCGAGCCGAAATAGATCGAAGGACCGGCGAATCGGGAGTACAAGACGCCAAAGGGGATGCGCGCAGTGGCAAACCCACGACCGGTTCCGATGTATCGAGCACCACCAAACGAAAGGTCCTGCTGCACAGAGTTCGCATAGATCTGGCAGACGAACACTTCGAAGAAGGTAGAAAGCGAGAAGAATTGCTTCAGGAAACGCACCAAGGCGCGCCAAACACCTCGCTCTGTCAACTCCTGAACAATCAGGGGCACGAAGGACAGGAAGAAGACGAAGAAGATGGAGAAGATACTGCGTTGAACCCAATCCATGACAGCATCCGTATTGGCGCATCCCGTAGGAAACAGGGGATCCGTAATTGGCTTGTTCCTATTGTAATCGCAGGGAATGGTCTCGTGCCTGAACGCGCCGAAGTTGAGCAGACATAGCATGAAGAGCTGCACCGACAGCATGATAAACATGTTGTTGATGTGGAAACCAGCGTGAGCGTAGTAGAAGGATAAGAACCGGTCGAGCGGGAGCTGTGTGCCTAGGTAATAGTACTCGCGGGAGAGCATCTGCTCGCCCATGCCAGTGCCAATCTTGGTAGTGAAGTTCAGGATTGACCCGAATCCCAAGTCACGGCCTTTGCCACACTGATAATATTCGCAGTGTTTGATACGGCCGCCACGCAGGATAGCGTTCATGCCGGCAAAGATATCCTCGTTGAGATGGAGGCCCTTCTGGGCCTTTGACACGCCGCCTCGAGTCGTCATGAAGATGCCGTTAAGGAAATCCGGGTGACCGTAGTGAAGTTTTCCTCCAATCTTTGCTAGGGTTCGTGCAAAGAGCGTACCAAAGGTCTGTTCCTTTCCGGCGGCAACATCACCGAGAATGCCGATATTCTCGGAGAAAATATATTCACGAGCTCCGAGAATAGCAACGGGGGCGGTAGTTTCGTTCTTGACTCCGGGGGTGTAGGGCGAGACGTTCTCTGTCTTCATTTCCTCGAACTCGGCAAGAACACTCCTGATCTTCAGACATTCCTCGAGGTAGTTGTCTTGGTTGGCATCGATGAGTTGGATGTATTCGCCACGATAGAAGATGACCGAGTGGTTTTGATTGTCAGATTTACCGTCACCAAGAACAGGGTTGCCCGAAAGCTGGATCCTGAACTTAGGTCGCCTCATACCGTTCTCCATAAGCTCAGAATGGCCATCAATCAGAGCGGAGTAAAGGCGAGGCTCCTCGCCCTCGGCCAGGGGAGGCTCTTCATCCAGGTACGCAATCTGGAGGTCGGGGTAGGCGCGGAGCAGGAACTCGGCGTTCTCCATTTCCTCCTTCTTGAACTTAGAGTAGCGCTGCATCGAAACCACAATCTTGAACTTGCGACGGGCCATGCGTTCAAGTTCTCGCTCTAGCTTGTCGGAGTTTCCGCCAAACATCTGCACGACTTCCGGGTTCTCGACGCGATACAGGAGCTTGATAGCACGGCTGTAGTTCATGAAGCCCGAGACTGTACGGTACAGAGTCTGCGAACGAAGCGAGGCCCAGATACGGGTTCGGAGGGTATACTCAGGTGCCGAGGACTTGAAACCGATACAATAGAAGGGCAGGTCGTCGATCTTGCTCTTGGCAGCGTCCTTCTCGCCTTTTTCGAAGTCTCCGTTCATTTGCGATGTCTCGTCGGCTAAGATCTTGGTGTCCTTGACGAAGCAGTCCCACTCATGCGGATGCAGTTGCTTGAGGTACTCTAGGAGAGTAACGCGCGAGTAGGGCTCGTCCTCGCGGATGATTTCACGTAGGGAGAGGAGAATCTTCTCGCTATAGTGAGGGATCATGACGGTAAATGTCGGCATATTGTCCACTGGAAGAGGCTCCGGGATCGGTGTCGATAAGGACTGGGCAAAGAAAGAAATTCGGCGTTCGGCCTCGCTATGGCTGGGGAAAAATTCGGTCTTGAACGAGTGGTCTTCCTGGGAGACGAAGAACGTGGGCGCCCGCAACGTTCGCTTGCCCTCCTGCTCCGACGGTACCTGGTGGTAGAGCAGCTTCTGCACATGATCAATGGCCAGTAGGTGCTCTCGGTACATGGAGATGACGATGGCATTCCAGACTTGAGAAATGAGTACCTTAGGCTTATACTTGATTTCCATGTCCGTAGTGGCCAGAACCTTGGAGTAGATACGCTTGGGAAGACGCGAAAAGATGTTGCGCCAAGGCGTCCAAATGGAAGATCCAATATAGAACGACCTGGCAATCGAGAAGATGGTGTTGAGCAAGACGTAGAAGAGGTACGTGTCGAGGAAGAAGAAGATCAGGTCGGTGAACGCCATTAGACCAAGCAAGATATAGGGGTGATTCTTGCAAAGGATATTTGCGGTGGCCTTTCCAAACAAGTTGTCTCCGGCGCACTGAGGGTGAAAGATGGACAGGTACCTAATGACGTCGCGGAACGACAGTGTCAGATAGACGTAGGACTCGCCAAACTTGGCACCGAAAACCGTAAGCCATAGTCCATACGACATGGCCATGTCGTTTCCTGACAGCCTGGGCCAGCTGGCCGTGAAGGTCTGGCTTGCAACATAGCGCCGCGAGTTCTTGGTCAGGTAGCTACCGAAGAGCCCACCAAGAGGCATAATCGCGAAGAAGAGGAACGTGATAATGGCAATGACGAAGTGCACAATGCCAATGATAAGGTCCACATCAACTCCAGAGGTCTTCGGGGTGCGAATTGCGAACACCTTGATGCCGGGCCCAAGGTTGATGACGAAGATGAGGATGAGGAACAGAAGCCTCTTGGTGAGGTGCTGGGCACCAGCCCACCGCCGCGGGACGTACGCCCACTCCGCTAGCGTAGCGAGAATCTGGATGAACGAGGCGATCGCGCCGCCGAAGGCGACGACCGAGAACTGCTGTGCAGCCGGAGGCTGGTTGTCCACTTGCTGCTCGTACTTGGAGCCGAGAAGTAGAGTCGGGGCATTATGCGAGGTATAGAACCAGAACATTGTCAGGTGGATAACCCAGATGCGGTTGAAGTTGACGAGGAGGTGGAACCACGACCGCGTCTCCTTATATGTCTTGAAGAAGCACTTCTTCCAGTTGATGTCCTTCAACTTCAGATAGCGCTCGGCGGGAGGCACGTCCACAAGCTTGCTCTTATCTTGCATGACGATGCGCTCGATACCTTCAGGGTACCAGAAGAGTTGGTTGCAGTCATCGTAGCCGATAATGTGCTTGTGGTCGCGCTCACGACGCACGTAGACCCCGTTGAGAATCTCGTAGCCTTGGTCTCTGCAGTACTGGTACAGCGGAGTGATGACGTTGTTCAGGTACGTAAACTCATCCACGGGCTCAACAAGAGCCTGGCAAGCTGGCGAGTTGAGATAATCGTCGGCACACTTGAAAATGAAGCAAAGGCATTCCGGCATAAATCGAACCTGGTTGGCCTCGCCCCAGCAAAGCAGGTATAGGGCGATCTGGCGGACTCGATCATGCTGGGACATGCGGTTCATGCGCGTCTTCCAACGGTACTCGGCAGCCTCGAGGCTGTCATCGCCTTCCAGGTCTTGGAGGGCCTCCGCTTCGTTCGCAGCCTCAGCGGCGTTCTTCTTCTTCTTGCCCTTTGCCTTGCGACGAAGGCCTTTACTCTTGGCATTGGCAAAGCCAACAGCGTCATCCAGGTCCAGGTGTGCAGCAAAGTACCACTTGCGGTAATTGGCGTTGTCGCCACCAATGTAGTCCGCATGGAGGGAGAGAAGGGCTTGGTTCGGTGTCATGCGAGAAGCCCTGGAGTCGAGGAGCGTCATGAGATGGTCGTACATGTTGCGCATGCTGTCCCGCTGGAATCCAAACTTGGATGTCAAGTCGAGGAAGATGTCCTCGATCTCTTCCTTTGACAGAGGGATTTGGGCATCCGAGGTCCAGGCAGGGTACGGCTCACGAGAGCGCTGGCCGGCAGGTAGGACGTTACCGTAATCCATGCCGTAGTTGGGTGTTGACGCGCCGGAGGATCGATTCGCCCCGTAGGACATTTGAGATGATGGTGGCCTATACCCTCGCTGCCCGTCGCCGTAGCTGTTGTACCGTTCGTCACCACGACCGTAGTAGTCCATCTCGGCTGCGCGGGCCATGTCTGATCTCATGGTGAAGTCGCTGAACGTCTCCGAGTCCTCTTCGGAGCCGTGGCGGCCGCCATGACCGGCATACCCGTTGTTGTAATCCTGATCGTAGTAATTGCCGCCCTGGCCATTGTAGTAGTCGTCTTGATATTGATCATGGCCGTCGTAATACCCCCCATCTTGGTGGTACGGGTTGTTGGGGTCGGCATTGTAGTATCCCCTAAGATTCCTGTTAGCGAAAGGTCCTCTTTCTCTCCTGCTTTCAGAGTTTCGAAAGCAGAGCCGGCGCGAACTCACGATTCGTCGTAGTAGCCATCGCCAGCGTGGCCGCCCTGGGCGCCGTGACCGCCACGGGCATCGTAGCCATTGTCGTAGTACTGGTCATCCTGGTAGTACGAGTCTCCTCCTCCGTTCCCTTGTTGATGGCCGTAGCCATCATCATAGTGGTCCTGATGACCACCTGGATACCCAGACATGTTGAGAGGCAGATCTTATCTGAACGATTCGATGGTCAGGTTAGGTAACGCGTCCAAGACCTCGGGGAGGGAAAAGGGGGCAAGGAGCGGAGCGGCGTGGGTGCAACCTACCCCTCGACAAACATGGGAGCTGTATGCTGCGGATTATGCAAAATGGTTTCCGATGCGAGGCCGCGTCCCTGGACGAAGAAGCCCTGCGAGAGTCGTTCGAGAACGCAGTGACGACGGGGCGGCTCAGCGAGGGATTCACTGAATGGTGCGAGACCCGACAATGATTGACATCCAAATCGCGGTTCGAAGATAATCGGTCGGTGGCATGTACCGGCAAGCTGATCCCGTCGATGATAGGCGCTTAAACGAGAGAGATTCGCACAATGTTTGCGGGAAGACGAGACCAAGAAAGCGTCGATGTTGGCGGTGGCGCCTGCGAAGCAGAAAGATGTGGGAGTCGCAACGCCGGTTCTGCTCGCAGGGTGCGAACAGAATCGCGTATAAGGAGCGGCAGAAGCGATGAAAGAAAACGCAAGACGGAGCAGGAGAAAGCGAGCGTACTGTCTGGCCGGTCGGGTCAGAGTGAGGAGAGCGCCAGATGATGCCTTTTTCCCCCCTTTTTTGGGACAGTGAGAGGACAGAGAAGGTGGAAAGGCAAAAACAGCCAGGGAGTGAATGAGCGGGAGTGGGATCGAGGGGGGTGGAGCATCAAGCACGACCAGGCTGGGCGGCGCGAGACGGGGGAGCGGACGGCGGTTGGTTGGCGAGTTCGGGTGGCTGTGCGGTGTCGCGCTCTCCGCTGCACCTCCCCGTCGTGTCGCCTTCCATGTTCCGTTGCTTGATGGGGTGGTGTGGGAGAGGCACCTGCGCTGAATAGGTGGTAGTACCTGGTCACCACCACCCGACGTTGGGGTGCACGAGGTACCTCCGTACACCTGGGGCCACGGGAAAGCGGCTCGCCAGGAGGGACCGGGGGGTCGCTGGACTGTCACAGTGAGGCCAACAGTCAGGCCAGGTACCTGTCTGTGGTATGCGTCGCGAACTCTGCGGGTACAGGCTGTGTGGATGGCCGTGCCGGGTCCTACCTAGGTACCTACGCCTGGAGGTGCCGGGCCTCACCTCAGGTACCTAAAGCATCGAGGCACGGACAGGTTCTCTGCCCGTTGAACTGGGCGAAGACGAGCTCCCATAGAGCTCAGGTACATGCTTTACCCAGCGCACCTCGCACAGCACGGCACAGCAGATCATAACCGACGCACATTCTGCAAGCCCCTTCCACCGGCGTTCAAACCTCGGAGTTGGCTCACCGAGGCTCGCTGAGAGGCTGGTCGGGCGTCTGCGCAGACGCAAAGCCCGTGCCGGCCGCGCCGCGAGCGACCTCGCAACCTCGCGACCTCGCTCACAATGGCGGCGCTGGCGCAGGAGCATCTGAACTGGACCAACCCCCTGACGGGTACTGCGCTGCGAATCTTGATAGGCCTGCGGCTGGAGCTGTGGTGCTGCCCTGTGGGTGGGTGGGTGGAGAGGGCCCACGGCTAGGTAGGTCCTCTCGTCTCCCCTGGGCGAGCGAAGTACCTGCCCTGTCGCCCTGAGAGAATTTCCTGGACCCAGAGCGGGATCATGAATGCGCAAGATGCGCAGTGTACTCATACCTCGCAGGAACTTGTACCCACTCGGAATATCAGCTAGCGTCGCGGTACCGCGCAATTCCAGGCACACATTTCCGGAGAGTGGCCAATCGGGTCCAGAAAGTGGGCCTCATCGGCGCGGCAGCCACGGGTAGGGCACCTGACTTGCTAAGGGCAGGGAGCTCCAGGGCTGGGAGGCTGGGCGGGCTGGGCCCGGGTCAGCGCAAGCGGATGCTGGTGCTGCTGGGGCGGCACCATGCAGTGCAGTGGCCAGCAGGATCACCTTGAACCACGAACGCTCCCTCTCCGCCTCTCAGTGCTCGAGTGTTGCGCGCCGGCAGCAGAGCGGATGCGACTTCGAAGCCCGTGTTTAACCTACCCGGGTGTGCTCATACGGAACATCTGCCGGACCAGGGGGCAGGCGGCACAAATTCTGTGAGGGTGGGTTACAGAAGCAACCTCGCATCAGCATTGAGAAGTGCATCACCTCATGGCAGCACCTCCTGCACACAAGCAAAGCAGCAAAAGCACTGCTGCGCATGTCTCTCCGGCCAGACGCCTCCCGCCACTTTTCCGTGCTGCACCTGGACAGTCTGGACAATCTACGGAGTAGTCGTACTGCCGTCGCAGCGGCACGGCAGGACGCAACGGGGGCGGTCCGCCGGGGCGGCGGCCGTGGTGCTGCTGCTGCACTCCCGGCGAACACTCGCGGGTCCCGTGAAGTGGACATTGCCCTGTGCGCCTTGTGGTTTCTTCGCCTCCACATCGCGAGGTTTCCCATCTCGATCTGTCGAGCCATCCTGATTGCTGAGGAACCGGCCTGGGAACCCAGATGGCTGGGATGGCTCCGGCGCCCGCGACGGACTCTCCGGTGGAGCCGCGCCTGGGAAGCGCTGGAGCATCGATCTGGTTGAGCTCAGGGCTGTTCTCCGTAGCAGGAGCCACTATCCACGGCGCAGAGTCAATTGTCGAGGCTAGGACGAATGTGAAGAAAACAAAAAGGCGGGATGGCGAACCAGCGCTTTACTCGTACGAGTGCAACACAGCCGTCGCTGCACAAACACCCGGCGTCTGGATCAGCAGCGTCTCCCGCTGGAGTCCTGATGAGCCTACCCAGCTCTCAGGAATGTCCGGACTCGCTCAAGGGCAGTAGGGTACTTTGATGTACGTGCCTGCTCGTCAGCATCCGGCCGTGCCAGCTGGTAGTCGCATGTAGCTGGCGTCCGACATGACGATGCAATATTCAACAGATCGATCCCCGTCGTCGTGCGCGACTCGTGCAGCGTCGGGTAGTGCAATACTGCGAGGACGGCAAGCTCAGATGCACCAGACGATGCTTCGGCGCTGTTCCATATACCCCTGTCTCTTATACACATCTAGATGTGTATAAGAGACAGGTGCAATACTGCGAGGACGGCAAGCTCAGATGCACCAGACGATGCTTCGGCGCTGTTCCATATACCCAGCTCGCCGCGGGGGCCTGCCTACAGTCTGTCACTCTGCTTTCTGGCTTCGCGGCTGATGCGCCGCCGCCGCCGGCTTCTCAACAACATCTCATCGGAATGCCATCTCCCTCCCGCTCCGCCGCTGCACGCATCAGGGCTCCCGTCGCCACGGGCTGCAGCATTTTCGGGCGGGCCGTGCTGGCACTCGGACTCTGGCACTGGCACGCAGACGGCGAAATGGAAGCCTGCGGGCCCCCCTGCATGGGACGTTGCTAGCGCACGATCGCAGGCATTTTTAGCAGCGCACCGACCCGCCTTGGGCCCGTTTCCATCGCCACTGGACGCTCGTATCCCTGTTTTGCCAGGCCAGGCCGGCGCCCCCTGGCCCAAGAACCCAGCACCGAGGGGGGCATGTGGGTGCAAAAAAAAGCGCCGCCTGTACCAGCACCTGTGGTGCGAAAGTCTTAGGCTTGGGGGTCTAAAACCGGCGCTTTTATTTGCACCCACATGGGGGGAAAGCGTCCGCCACGTACCTACGTGGTTGAGCTTGAACTTTGTCCAGAGGGGTGTCGTCGAGCGCAAATGCCTGGTCGTCCGACCGTGCAAGTCATTGCCGCGGTTTATGATGCGGCCGAGGACACGGTACGAGGGCGACGGGTGCTGCTTCTCGGCTTGGTCACAAGTACGGGGGTACTGTGCCTCGCGTACGTACCGTACCTATTGTGTAGGTACGAGATGCCCCAGCCGCGTCGTCTGTCCATGCACCTGCGCGCAAGTAACTCCGTAGTTGGAACACGAATCGAGCGAGCGGCCTCGTCATGGTCGTCACCTCAAACCACCTATCCATCCATCCAACCATCCAAACCCCCCAGGCCGTCCTCCATCCAAAATCGCTGCCTTCAGCCGACGTCTGCGACGCGCTGGTGGATCTGTTGTGGGGCTGCTGCCCCTGATCCCCCCCTGCTGTTCAAGCATTTCCTGCCATCCTCGCAATCCTTGCAGTTGCGGTCCTGGCAAATTCCGCTTGATGACCAATCTCGGTTTTGGGAGAGGCAGCCCGTGGTGCGACTCGCAGCCCCTGGCGGCGCGGGCTCTCGACGTCCCGAGCCCTGCGCTGCAAGTGCCGCCTGATCCCTGCAGAGAAAGGGAAGGCTTCGAAGTGGGAAACCTGTGCATGTGCAAAGTTCTGTGCAGGTTCGAAGCGGTACTGTGCCCCGGCAGACAGCACCATTCTGGCAAATTACGACAGTACCTACATTATGTATGTGGCCCGAGGTAGCACTCTGCAATGTGCAAGCAAGCAAGGTCCTTGAACCAGCCAGCAGCAGCAGTGTTGTCAATGGTTCCTGGGGTACCCCCATGCCCCGGTTACGTCGTGAGAAGCGCCTGGGCAATCTCCGCGCCCGCCGCATGAACATCATTCCACGACAAGCCAGGAGTCCCTTGATTGCGCTCTTGAACAGAGGATCCTGTCGCGCAAACAATTCCGTACTCAGCAGAGTAGCGAATCCAAGAGGAACCCGTAATTCATGTCGACTGCGTACCAGGGGAAGCTCCTGTGGCTTAATATGGTGATGTCACGTGACTGTGTTGCTGTGCCAACAACAGCAAAGATCCAGTCCAAGTCTGACTTCTACGGCCAGCTTCTCCCCACCGTGACCAAACAAGGTCAATGCAGCATTCCTGCTCTTCGAAACTGGCCCAGAATTGGCTGCATCGCGGCTGCGTCATCATCTTGACCTGCTGCCCCATCGCCGAGCGCCTAGCCCACCAACCGAGAGCGCCGAGGGCTTACCACCATGGCCAGGGTCGTCGACTACTATCCATCCAGCGAGGATGAGCTGCCTCGACTGGACGCCCTTCTTGGCAGCACAAGCAAGCGCAGAGTAACGCCTATGTCGCGAGAGACACCGAGACCACCCCAAGGCAAGGGGCTTGTGCCCAAGTCGGCAGCTACGCCATCCGCACGGAAAGTCCGTCGATTTGGAGAGCAACAGAGTGATCTCAATCCCCTCTTTCTTCCTTGGAGCAAGAGCAAGGAGAGCGACTCGACCCACAACACACGCGGCACCTTTCAAATACCATCAAGTTCATCACGGGAGGGGACTTGCCAGACGCCTAAAGTCGTGCCATTGGATGGACTCTCGTATGCGATGCGTGAGGACTCTCCTCCGCCGACGGCACGGGCTTCCCGAACAAGGCGTCGCTTGGCTGCACGACTTCTGGAAAGCGATAAGGAGGACAATTCGATCTGCGATAACGCGGGGCTGTTGAACAAGACTGGCCGAGCCCAAGATGGTGACAGCCACACGCAATTCCCAACACGCGGGTCGACCCCTGTGGCGGACCTCGATCATAGGAAAGACGCAGCGAGCGTAGTACTTGATCCAGTATCAGCCAAGCCGCTATGCCCAAACACCCAGAAGAAGGACTCCGGGGATACATCCAACGACGAAGAGCCCAGCATTTACGAAACAGCGGTTGAGGACTCGCAAAGCGAGAGCGAGAGCGAAGGGTCAGGCTCAGAGTTCGAGCTCAGCGATTCCTCCGAAGATCTATTCGAGCGCACTTCTACGCCTGCGGCGCCTCCCATCGCGAGGGTAAGGAGGGGTCGACAAGCCAAAAAAGAGGACAACGAGTCCCCCGGTGTATTAAACGCTCGGAGCCCAAACGTCAGAAAGCCGAAATCCGCCTTTATTGCCGCCTCTTCTGCAACGGCGAAGACGACCAGTCCCGACTTCCAGGCAGGAGTTCGACAGCCTCAAGCAGGTATCTCCAGGAGCAGGTCAGGATCGCATGAGTCGGCATTTGCTCGTGACTTGGACGTCCTACGTGCGCAGCTGAGCGGGTTCTCCGATGACGGCCAGGAAGCGCGTCCAGATGATGACGATACGCTTGTGTCGCCGCCCAGCACGCCACCCAGAAAAGTCCAGTCCAAAGGTTTGGTATCCCCTCGCAAGCAAGGCGCCATCCCCGAGACGCCACATCCACCCAGCGTAGATGCGTTCTGGAACAAAGATTTTGTTGACGACTGGAACGAGCAACACTCGCCACGAAAAGCACCGACTGTACGTCTGGCACCTAGCCCAGCTAAGGGGAAGGCTGGGAGAGCAGCAGAGAAAAGGGCATTCGACGCGCGAAAGGCCGAATTAGCCGAGGAGTTCTTTCGCGAGCTCAACGAGAAAATCGCTGACGGAAAGATCTCGGAGCTCGCAAAGGCAACAGGGGGTGTCAAGCTTGTTTGGACGAAAACTTTGAATACCACGGCCGGGAGGGCGAACTGGAAGCGGGAGACGATTCGTACGAAGAAGGCGGACGGCACCGTCGTGGCAGTCAGCCATAAACACCACGCGTCCATTGAGTTGGCCGAAAAGGTCATTGATGACGACAACAAGCTGCTGAACGTGTTGGCGCATGAGTTCTGCCACCTGGCCAACTTCATGATAACGGGCATCGCCAACAATCCACATGGCAAAGAGTTTAAGGCCTGGGCCGCGAAATGTTCCCGGGCTTTTGGCGAGTCCCACGGGATCCAGGTCACCACAAAGCACGCCTACGACATCGACTTCAAATACACGTGGCAGTGCTCGGCGTGCGGATCCGAGTACAAGCGCCATTCCAGGAGCATTGACCCTCAGCGCCACAGATGCGGAAGCTGCAAAGGCACACTGACCCAGACGAAGCCGTGCCCGAGGGGGACGAACGCAGGGGCCGGCAAAGTCGGGAAGCCCACCGAATACCAGATGTTTGTCAAGGAGCAGATGAAGATTGTGAGGGGCGAGAATCCGAACAGTCCTCAGAAGGAAGTAATGCGCATTGTTGCGGACAAGTGGGCGAAGGCGAGGAAGAGATCGATGCCTGTCGACGACGCGGTCGAGCCGAGCGAGGTTGACATCGTCGCGGCACGGATGGTGGACCTCACGATGGACAGCAAGGGAGAAGACGAAACCTGACGAGTACTTTTCCCTGCCATTTACTCCATCAAACGCGGCAGGCAAGTCTGCCCGCACAGTTGATGCATCAGTCGGCATTGCTTGAGATGCCTTTAGTGCCAGATTCTTGTCAGTAAAGCAATGACCTAAGGGGCCTACAGCGCATTGTAGAGAGGGCCAGGTCATCCAAGACAAGCCGAGTGGTCTCCGCTTGAGCTGCTCTTGACATTCATGAAAGTGCTACCCGTGAAATCTTAGTCGCTCTTCCGCCCTCAGTCATGGCCGATTTGCAGCAGTGGCCAAGGGAGCCTATTTTCTGCTGGACAGGATGCTGGTCACGAGCGGAAGGCCTTGCTTATTGTGGCCCTCGCGAAAAAGTCGAGCCTCCATCGACAAGTCGTGTTCGCTCTCATTCATGGCCTGATCGCGCCAGTTCCATGGCTGTCGACTTGGTTCATGTTATCCTTCTTCAAGCCTTCAGTGCTCCCCGAACAGGCCCCAGTCCTTTATTTTGAGCGTCCCCCAGATCCGAGCCGAGTACTCCACGGCGTCTCCGATAAGTTTGCCTTGCTTGCCCAGCTCGAGGTCAACGTCTTCCTCGTCGTACTCGCCCTTGATGTGCGGCACGTTTATGGTGATGAGTATGTCGGTCTGGTAGCGCTCGAGACGTAGCAGGGTCATGATGATGGCGGTGAAGTCGGGCGCGGAGGTCTGGTCGCGCGACTGGCCGACTTTGGGCGTCTGGGTCGCGATAAGTGTGTATGCCGGCGGTTTAGACCTGGGGAGGCGGATGCGTCAGCTGTGAGTACGGTCCGGCGACGTGGCGACGCTGTCTCTTATACACATCTAGATGTGTATAAGAGACAGGGACAAACTCGAGGCGAGTGAACTCGGTCTCGGCCGTGTTCCAGATCTTGACCGTGTCGATGTCGGAGCCAACCATGTCCTCGAGGTGCGTCGTCATGGCACGCCCGTCGATCTCGGGGCCGGAGCCAGGGCCACCGACCCGCTCGGTGATGTCGAAGATGATGCTCGTGAAGCCGTCCTTGTCGATCCAGACCTCCTGGTTGTCGGGGACCTGGCGCAGCTTGCTGTCGGAGCCATGTGAGCTCTTGGTGCGCCGGTCTGGGGCCATCATCAGCTGCAGGGGACGCTCACCTGACGTCTGCGAACTTTGCCGGCAGGTCGCAGACCATCGCGCCGCCGTAGAGGGGGGTGCCCAAGTAGTCGGGCATCGTGGCGGGGTGTCGGCGCGCGCGCGCGTCGGCTGATGGCGAACCTCCGGGTCTCTCAGGTCGCGCCTGGACGGCTGCGCGGGGGGGACAAGACGTGGATTCGCAGGCGTCGCGGACGCGGTCGGCTGCGAAGGATTTTTGCGACAAAGGCCAGACCCGGCGATACGATATGGATGCTAGATGGCTAGACTCGGCGTTGTTCCGTAGGTGCGGCTCAGGTGTAAAGTAGGGAATGAGCGACGTCTGGTGAGGTGGCGGGGTCGTACTACAGCGGGGAGAGCCAGACAGGGCTGTGAGGTCTTGGGCATCCCAGATGACGTCGCGATTCTTTGGACCCCACGCCCAGCTTACCCTGTGGTTATCGCTACTTTTGCTGTCACTACGCGTATGCTGTGGCGTCCCTGCGTTTACTTGGATGTGTTTATTTGGAACTATGACTCTTGTGCGAGTAATCGTCGTGTATGCATCTGGACTCGCCCCTTTGCGTTGTACATTTTCAATACTCCGTGCTACGTACGAAGCATCTACCCAGGTGGCAGGAAGTGTACCACATGGATATCTGCACCCATTCATATCCAGGTACAAAGTAAAGACACATAAACAAACGAACAATTTCAGTTTGTATTGCTCAATTGTCCAAGCGCCCAAAGTACCAAGCTGAGCTTCGCGTGCACCAGCGTAGCCGGTCCTTCGGTCGCCACAGAAGTCCCAGCTGTGCGCTGCGAGTGTTGCTCAAGCCGAGCCGGCGCCAATTGGAAGCTTCCCCTCCAGCTTCACTCCACTTTCTCCTCCTTCAAGTCAGCTCCTCCTCCGGTGACAGCCCGTGCTTATCCCAGTTCCACCACTGACAGTAAGTTGGAAAGCATTGCCCCTACTCAGCATACAAGCTCGACGTACCAATTCTCGCATCGAAAGACGCCCGGTGCTCTTCATCGAAACCACCGGATCGAACCAGACCTGCACCATCAACGTCTCTCTGCCACACACCACACGTCCTCCACCAGAACATCGTCCGACACCATGGCCGCTTGCATCTTCTGCCGCATCATCAAGGGTAACCGTCAACCTCATTGAAGAGAGGAGAGCCCAAGGGGACGCGCCAACCATTACTGCCCGTTGCCCACCATGCTGACACGCCGGGGCGCTGCATCCCGCCCGCGCGACCACAGGCGAGATCCCCTGCATGAAGCTCTTCGAGAGCGACAAGACGTTTGCTTTCCTTGACATTGGGCCTCTCAGCAAGGGCCACGCCGTAAGCCGCTTCGCCCGTCCGCCTGCGTCTCGCCGCCTTCCGGCTGCCACTGACGCTGCCCGTTGCCGCAGCTTGTGATCCCCAAGTACCACGGCGCGAAGCTCGCCGACATCCCGGACGACCAACTGACCGAGATTCTGGTGAGCCGATCCAAAAGGAACATTTGAAGCTGGGTCGATAGACATTGACGCAACGCCTCTCCGCAGCCCACCCTGAAGAAGCTGGTCAACGCCACCGGTGCTGTCGACTACAACATCCTGCAGAACAACGGCACAATTGCCCATCAGCAGGTGCACCACGTGAGTGATGAGTTCCAGAGCATCCCCTCCCGTGTCACCCATGACCCCTATCTGGTCAACCCGACAGCAATTAACTAACTTGGCCTACACTGCAGGTTCATTTTCACATGGTAAGCACAGAACCCCGCCGCCCGTGACGACACGTCGCCGCAGCCACCATTATCACTTTCTCACACCCCTTATTTAGATCCCCAAGCCCAACGAGAGCGAGGGCCTTGGCATCAGCTGGCCTGCCACAAACGGAGACATGGAAAAGCTCAAGGCTCTTTGCGAGGATATCAAGTCCAAAATGTAGACCGCATGTCATGAGGCAGACTGGGCATGGAAACTTTGCGTCTGAAGTGTGCCTGTGACACGTCTGGGGGGACGTCAAGGTGGTACGGGACTCATGATGCCGTAGGGACAGCTACCTAAGGTACCGATTTCTCTCGAATGCCAAGTAGGACTATACGAGCTCGACCCGGCGATCGTATACTCCTGTTTCGCATTAAACACCCGTTTGACGGGGATAAAGGTGATGACTATCCTCCTCTTTGACAAAGACGCCCGTCCAGACCTCGTATTGGCTATCGTGTGTTATGCCTGAGCCCCGTTGTCGTTGGGCTGCTTGACCGACTCCTGGTCTGCCTTTGCGTACCAGTTGACCTTTCCGTCAGGGAGGATGTCCCCCACCCGATCGTACAGCGACCGAGACCGGATATACGGATCGAGGGTCCAATAGCCTGCGCGCAGGTTCTCGGCAATCTGCTCTCGCTCGGCCTTTGCTTGCTTGCCCTCTTCAGAGTCTGCGGCACGGATCCAGGTCCGAGTTGCCGCCTCAAACTCGCCGTAGAGGTCGGCCCTGGCCTTGAGAAGCCGGTCCCTCGTCTCCGTGTCCTTCATGGCCTCGTTCTCACCCTCGGCCGGTTCCTTGTACTCATACTTCCAATCTTCGTCACCGTCGAGCTCCTTGATGATGCGATCCGGGGCGATAAATTCCTCCAGACCGGCTCGGTAATTGGTGAAGTGAACCTTGGCGGCCACGACAGGGTCGAGCCAGCCGCGGATAATCTTCCAGATACCTGTCCATGCGATTTTAGCACTCAAACTCAATCACTGGATTACCGGCACGGAGAGAGTGCATACCTTGGAACACCCACGGCGCGTTGTGCACGAGAACGGCGCCAAGTGACTCAGGGTAGTTCGCCTCAAAGCATTGCACCATGAATTTGACTGGCTGATAGTCCATGTTGGACAGCGTGAAGTCACTCATATCGAAAATGATGGTCTATGAGAACGTCAGCGCTCAAAATTGCGTCTCTCAGTACAGAACGGTATCGGGCAATGCGTACCGCAGTGTCGACAGGAGGCTCGAGAACCAGGCGGGCTGTTTCAATAATAAAGACCGTGTACCTCTCGAGACTCTCCAAGGACTGTTCGCCGGGTCTATGCAGGCGTACGCGTACAACGCAGATTGGTCTGCCCTCCTTGTCCGTACCATGGAGGAAGCTTTTCCCCATGCGCAACTGGGCCATGAAATCGCTCCCCAGCTTCTTGGCACTCGCACTGCCATTCTTCTCGTCCTCGATGGCACCGCCCTCACCGTTTTTCATGATGTCGTCGTCCAGGTTCATCTGGCTATGCCTCCAGTTCATAGCGGAAATGAGCATTACCAGGGCCTTTTCCACGTCCCATTTGCGAGCCCGAAGGAATCGCAGGAGGAGGGCATCTGGGTGGTCATGCTTCACCATGGACCAGATTGTCTGACGGATAGAGTCCGGACTGTTGTTCTTTAGAGTCTTGTGGTAGTCCTTGGTTTGCCCATACTTGTCATTGTCATCTGGCGTCGCATCTCTGCTCCCATTGGAGCTCTCTGCGCTCTCGTTGCCTCCCCAGCGGAAGAGACTGAAACGTTTCTTCTGAGGTGACTCGGACTCCTTCACGGACGGCGCCTTGGACAACGCCTCTGCTGTAGCGCTACCAACAGAGGAGCCCGAATCATCGGCAATGCCACAGACCTTGAAGAAGGCGTTCCACAGCTGCCGAAGCTTCTGTTCCTGCTCTGGCGTTAGGTTGCCGAGGTGTCCTTGTGCGATGGCGTCGATCGACATGGTGCCACTGGTGCTGGGGGTGGGGTCCGTGTCCGTGAGTGAACCTGGAGAGATGGTTTCGACGACCGCGGGTGCGATGCGAGTTGCGGTCCAGGAAGCAAGGATAATGGCAACGACGACAGCCAGAAGGGTTGGGGAGAAGACGGTGCTACTTTGGAGGCGCTGCGGCTCAGTGCTGGAGAAGAGTCGCCCGGCGCGGACACGTAGGTGCGTAGTCTTGTTTGTTGCAGCTGAAGGCCTAAGGAGGCGGAGGTGAGAGCTGATGTTCGCTACAGGTCGGCGGGATGCGCTGGCAGAAGCGGCCGGGTTCAGGGCGGCACGAGGCTGGCCGTGATAGCGGCGTGAAGACGAGGGTGCCCGAGCCGGCGCAACGTGGGCTAGGAGGAGGCGGTTGGTGCCTTGACGACAGTTGGCGACGGGGACGGCGGCGGCGGCGGCGACGGCACTGATGACGATGCCGGCAGAGTTTCGTTGCTTCATGAGACGAAGCCCGTGATGAGGGAAGGAAAAGGAATGAATGATAGGGGACGCGATGAGGTTGCTGCAGATCACGCACAGCCTGTGGCGTGGCGGCGCCGGAGGACTGAGAAGCGGATGTACCGGGTACCGACCGCGTGCTGGTTGCAGTGGGCGCATCGAGGCGACGGGACGTTTCCACCTGGGCAGGCTGGTTCCATTGGGTGTGTGCCTGATTCGGGGAGCCTGCAGGTGGTGGATGGGCACCCCGTTTGACTAGGTGCGCCGCTGGGCCGCCGCACCGCCCACGACGGCGCCAGCCCAGTAAGCCGTCAGGGCCATTGGCAACTGTGTGGCGCATCGCAGGAACCCGCTAGACACTACCTGGGGAAGGTACAGCAACACTCTCACGCTGGGAGGCGATTTTTGGTTCGGGGCATCTAGAAGCCTCGCGCAGGAAGTGCCTCCCCCAGTTGGCTGCCTTTCGCAGCGCTTCGCGGGGCCCTTTGCTGGCGGACTTTGGACGCTGAGGTGCCGCATCCATAAGACAAGGTAGGGTAGGCGTAGAGTGAGGAGCAGCAGGCGATGCCGCGGCAGTGCTTTACAGGTACACTTCCAATCCCAGACGGATGTGGCCACGCTGCGTCAGGCACCTTGGTCGGCAAGGCAGGTCAGTCGCCGGAGAGCCCAGTGGTGGAAAATGCAGCGCCCATGCACAGCATCGACCGCGCCACAATGACGAGTGAGGACGACGACGTCAAACGACGAAACGTTGACAACATCCCCTCAACTTAAACGGGACTGTGCATCGTCCGTCAACCCATGTCGAGTTGCCGGGGGGCCCAGCCTTGAAGGAGCGGTTGGTCCTCCGCCCGCTCGGCTGCCACGGCCCCACTGTCCGACGCGACATGCGGCCTCTGCACGTGCCGCTGTGCATTCTCACGTCGAGTATTGGACAGTACCTAGGTATTTACTGTACTCGTGCTTGCCAATGACGCTCCGCCCGTGGACTCGGTGGCCAGGGGGGAACACACAATAGAGGATGCAGCCAGGTCGCCAGGCCATGGCGGCTCCCAAAAGTCGTCCTTCACTCGTGTCATGCACCCACATTTGCGGTGCCGGGTGGTGCTGCTGGCCGGGTACCTGGTACATCCCCCACTGGCCCACCGCACCCAGTGCGCGTAGTACCTATGGAGTCCCGCCGTGAGCCTGGGCCTGGGACTTGTCAACAACACCAGCACCTTCACAATCGCTGGAACTTGCGACCAAGGGCTCAACGGCTCGCGACCGCGCACGTCAGCCCTCCCTCCCGTCCTGTCTGGTCGAAACAAGCGGCACAAATGGACCACGACACCACCGGAAACCGGCGCCCCAGCTCCAGGACGCGAACGTCGCGTCCCACTACGCCGCTACGGCCCTCGTCGCGGTCATCCTTTCGCGACTCTGCCCGCTCGGCCGGCGACGGGGACACGCCGTTTCCCCTCAACACGTTCGAGCCCGCCTTTGCCGAGCTGTCCGATGCCATGGCCGACCTGGAGGCAAACATGATGCACTTCCAGCTCATGCACGAAAGCCTCGCCCGCTTCAGCGAATCTTTTGCCAGCTTCTTATATGGCCTCAACATGAATGCCTTCTGCGTAGATTTCCCGGAGGTACGCCCACGCACGATAGACCCGCATGCACACCAATGGTTCAAGTCGAAATTCATAATTGCTGCATACCGAAAACTCCCTCCAACGCCATCGTTGTTCACCAATTGCTAACCGTATGCGCTTGCAGGGCCCTGTACCAGAGTCCTTCCGCAGAGATCGACAGCGCCAGGAAACCAGGAGTGCGACAGCAGTGCGAGCGGACAATGATGTTGAAACCACATTCATGTGAGTTGCACGACTGCCAGATCATCGCCCAAATTCCAATACCGCCTTCATCAAATCCCGGCTGACCGCTTGAAGGACCACCGACACATCCTTTGTCGAAAACCCGCCCGCGCCGAGCAAGCGTGAGAGCAGTGCCGCGGTGCCCGAATCGCGACAGTCGAGACTACCCTACGCCCGTGGGAACCCGACAAGGGGAAGGTCCAGCGCTAGAGGACGGGATCGTGGCAGGGCCAGTGGACTTGCGAGACCACGCGGGCGCGGCATTCGTTGACCACCAACCTACAACGGTGTGCGACTGTCTTCAAGTCCATTCCTGTCATGCCGTAGCCAGCGAGGAGCTCATATCGACTTTGTGCCTTGACAGCGCCAAGTCGCGGCTCTGGGTCACTCTCTCACGGCGCCATCTCGATGTCGTGTTCTGTCGGTTGGTCGCTTCGGGATTCGACGGCGGTAGTGCTCAGTCGGCATGGGGCAACTGCACCTGGTACCCGTTGAGGATTCGGGTCTGGTTCTTCCCGCAGCTGTTTGACCCTAAGCGCAGAGGCGTGAGCAGGCAAAACGTCATGGTATCTAACTTGACCACTTCGGGCAGAGCAGAAGAGGAAGGAAGACATACCTGCGCTTGTGAGGCTTGCCCCGCTGATGGGCGGTCAATGTCTTCTCGGTATCAAACCACTTGGCGCATTCGACGCAGTAGTTCCGGCCAAGTCCGGGGAGGTCCTCCGCCGCTTTGGTATCCTTGAACTGGGAGAGGTGCCTAGATGAGATCAAATCCGCCTTGACCTGATCCACGTCCCTGCAGGCTGAATTAGACAACATGGCCGGACCCAGCTGATGGTCACTCAAACCTCGTTTTCCGCCTCGTCTTGGTGATTGTGCGCTTGTTTCCGACGCCCATCGTGTTGCCGTGGGTAATAAGTGAACTAATAGCTTTTGAGATGTCCGCCGTAGATGCAGGAAGAGAACAACCCGTGAAGTATCTGGAGGTAACGAATGCTTGGTACCGCAGGGCCAAAGGTGGTCAGAAGCCGTGATTTCCATGTCAGGCAGTTTCTTGGGCGGTGAGGAAATATTTTGTGGAGACAGTGCGAAGTCACAGTGTCAGACTTCTTAAACACTGTATCACCATCCCAACGTTGCAGGCGTGAGCTGGCACAGGACTCCTCGCAGCTCGTCGGTGCTTAAACGAGACGGTGACGTAGGGACTGCATTTTCGTATCAGGAGCATGACTGGTAGTACACGATGTCAATAATCACGCCGTCGAAAACATTGCACAAGTGCGTGGTCGGCAATTGCACGAGCAACGGATGGCAAGCAATAACTGGCGCGAGACACCGCAGAGAGTGTCTGGCCGGCGGCAGTGTTGTGTTGGAATACAGAGGCTTTTCAGCGAAGACGACTGTACTGTATTCCGTCCATGCGTGTGAAATAATTCGCCCATGGATTTGGAGTCGGGAAAGGCTGCTCTTACATTCTCCGTCCATATCACAGACGTGCAGGTCTGTCCTGTCCCGTTCTGTTTGTTCGCCGTCTCGCTGTGCTTATCCGTCTCTGCTATCATAATTCCGTATAGGTCGGCGACCGAGACTAGGGCACCGAGAGCCTCGCAAGACCGAGCTGTGGATGCGGGATCCGACTCTTCTCCAGCCGAGGTGAAGACATTCCCCAGGCTGGAAAAAATTTCGTGTGGAGCCCCTCCCAGCCGCCCGCCCGATCCCCAGGAGCCCAAGGACGCGCCGCGGTTCGGGGCGCCAGAGCGCAGACACCCTGCAGCTTTGCAGCCCCGGCAGGTCCATCCGTCAGGCAGTACAGGCCGCTAAGCCACGACGATTTGGGCCACTGAGGCACCTGGAAGCAGGCCTATCAGTGCCCGGGCCTTGCTGACTCGGGTCAGGAGGGGCCGGCGGCACCCCGACGATTCAGAGACGGGCCAACAGCCGACCGGAGCCGAGCCGGTGCTTCGGCGGAGGGGAACCAGCTGCGCAAAATGCATCATTCTGACTGCAAGACGGGCACGGGAGCATATGTCCAGGCGGGGAGTGCGCAAGCGCGCGGGGGACTGGGCGCTGGAGGGGCAACCTGGAACTGACGCGCAGAGCCAGGCGAGCAATCGATCATGAACACCTGGAGGAACGGTTCGCCTCGCGGGAGGCTCCTCGAAGCTTCCCGGTAATGGAAGGCACGTCCCATCGTCGGAATTGGGCTCGACACCTGGAGACACGGTTGGTCCCCAGAATGGCTGACATGTGCCAGGTCATTTTTTTCGCCTGGCCTCTCTTTCGCTGGCCGGGGGGCCTCGGGGCTGTGGAGGTCTCGGCAAGAATGACGAAACGCAGACGGCGTGGATTATTATCTCGCGGCCTGTGACTGGCTGGGACAGGCCCCTCCGGCCCCACCGCTAGAGGTAGTCGCGGCGACGGCGAATCCAGAAGCCCTGGTTGAAACTGCGCAGCGCAGAAAGCCTGCTGGCGCCGGGGCGTCTGATGCAACCAAACCAAAGCTACCCGGCCGCCCCACAATTTAGGTTGCCTGTGCTCGGTAACATCTGGCTCTGTGAGGTTGCTTGAGCCGGCCGAAGGGCCAAAAAACACCTCTCCACCTTCACGAACCTCTCCCTCCCTTCTTTCTCAAAACCCCATCATAGCCCCCCGTCCTCCTCCACGGCCTTGGCTTGACTTCTGCGAGCGGCAAAGGCGTCGTCTTGAATACCTCGAGACCCTCTCCCCTCCGCCGCAATTGGCACTCCCGTCACAATGCTCGCGTCCCGACAGGTTCTGGGCAACCTTGCCCGGGGCCGCGTCCTCGGCGGCGTTGCCGGTGGCGCTCGTCGCCTGGCTACCGTCTCTGACTCTGCCCTTGACCGTAAGGTACGTCGTGATAGCTCTCTGTGCGCGCGCGGTTGCCGCAGCGACGGCGTGATTCGATTGGGCCTGCCGGCGTGGTCCATACGTGCACATGCGACCGTGATGATTTTCCTGTGTGCCGAATGTCCGGAGCCTGCGCTAACGTCTTGGTCACTCCCCAATATAGGTCCGCCAGAACAACTGGGAGGAGAACAACTTCATCAACTACAAGAAGATGTCTGAGAACCTCGCCATCGTCCGCGGACGCCTGAACCGCCCTCTCACCTATGCTGAGAAGATCCTCTATTCCCACCTGGATGACCCCCACGGTCAGGAGATTCAGCGGGGCAAGTCCTATCTGAAGCTGCGCCCGGATCGCGTTGCCTGCCAGGATGCCACCGCCCAAATGGCCATCCTGCAGTTCATGTCTGCTGGCATGGATCAGGTGGCGAATCCCACCACCGTCCACTGCGACCACTTGATCGAGGCCCAGATCGGCGGCGAGAAGGACCTCGCTCGCGCCATCAGCATCAACAAGGAGGTCTACGATTTCCTGTCTTCTGCCTGTGCCAAGTACAACATTGGCTTCTGGCGTCCCGGCTCCGGTATCATTCACCAGATCATCCTCGAAAACTATGCATTCCCCGGTGGACTTCTCATCGGCACGGACTCGCATACCCCTAACGGCGGAGGCCTTGGCATGTGCGCCATTGGTGTCGGTGGTGCCGATGCTGTCGATGTCATGGCCAATCTTCCCTGGGAGCTGAAGGCCCCCAACGTCATTGGTGTGAAGCTCACCGGCAACATGTCGGGCTGGACTTCGCCCAAGGGTACGTACCGCTCCTTCCTCCTTGTGTCGTTGCGACTCCGTCTGCGCACTCCACCATCACATGTCCCACGCTAACCGCTTTTGGATAGATATCATCCTCAAGGTTGCCGACATCCTCACCGTCAAGGGTGGCACCGGTGCCATTGTTGAGTACCATGGCCCCGGTGTTGACAATATCAGCGCCACAGGCATGGCCACCATTTGCAACATGGGGTAAAGTTTCCTTTCCTTCGTTCTCCCCTGATTCTTGGTTTCTCAGATTCCCGACGTGCCTGAGGTTCCTCTAGTTCCCGCGGTTCCTTTGGTTCCTTTGGTTCCCTCGGTTCCCTTGGTTCCTTTGGTTCCTTTGGTTTCCCTCGTTGCCGTCGTTCCCTTGGTTCCCGCGGTTTCCCTCGTTGCCGTCGTTCCCTTGGTTCCCGCGGTTTCCCTCGTTGCCGTCGTTCNCCGTCGTTCCCTTGGTTCCCGCGGTTTCCCTCGTTGCCGTCGTTCCCTTGGTTCCCGCGGTTTCCCTCGTTGCCGTCGTTCCCTTGGTTCCCGCGCTTTCCCTCGTTGCCATTATTACTATAGTTTCCGCGCTTCCCCTCGTTCCCTTAGTTTCTACGGTTCCCCTAGTTCCCCTGGTTCCTCTAGTTCCTCTGGCTCCTCTGGCTCCTCTGGTTCCTCTGGTTCCCTAAGTTCCCTAGGTTCCCGCGATTCCTCTAGTTCCCGCGGTTCCTCTGGTTCTCTAGGTTCCCGAGATTCCGCTGGTTGCTATAGTGCCTATGGTTCCTCTGGTTCCTCTAGTTCCCGTGGTTCCTCTAGTTTCTGTGGTTCCTCTGGTTCCCGAGATCCTGCTGGTTGCTATGGTGCCTGCGGCTCCTCTGGTTCCGAGAGATCCCCCTGGTTCCCGTGGTTGCCATGGTTCCCATGGTTTTCGTGGCACCTGAGATCACTCTGGTTTCTGTACTGCCAGGGATTCCTCTGGCTCCCGTGGTGCCTGTGGTTGCCATGGTGCCTGAGATGTTCAGGATCCACGACTGCTCGGGTGTCTCACCTCTGTCCACTTCCGCCAACACTCAATTTTCTTGGATGACAGCTGCTAACTTTCCCCCCCAGTGCTGAGATTGGCGCAACAACTTCTCTGTTCCCCTTCAACGACCGCATGTACGATTACCTGTCGGCAACGAAGCGCAAGGACATTGGCGACTTCTCCCGCGCCTACGCCGCCGAGCTGCGTGAGGACCAGGGTGCCGAGTACGATCAGCTGATTGAGATCAACCTGTCCGAGCTTGAGCCTCACATCAATGGGCCCTTCACCCCTGACCTGGGTACTCCGATCTCCAAGTTCAGCCAGGCTGTTAAGGAGAACGGCTGGCCTGAGGAGCTGAAGGTTGGCCTCATTGGCTCGTGCACCAACTCTTCCTACGAAGACATGTCCCGTGCTGCCTCGATCGCCCGGGACGCCCTCGACCACGGCCTCAAGGCCAAGTCTGTCTTCACTGTCACGCCTGGCTCCGAGCAGATCCGCGCCACCATCGAGCGCGATGGTCAGCTGCAGACCTTTGAGGAGTTTGGCGGCATTGTCCTTGCCAACGCCTGCGGTCCCTGCATTGGCCAGTGGGACCGCCAGGATGTCAAGAAGGGCGAGGCCAACTCCATCCTCTCGTCGTACAACCGTAACTTCACCGGCCGCAACGACGGCAACCCTGCTACCCACTCTTTCGTCACCTCCCCCGACCTGGTCGTGGCGCTGACCATTGCCGGCTCGCTGCACTTCAACCCCCTCACCGACAAGCTCAAGGACAAGGATGGCAATGAGTTTATGCTGAAGCCTCCCACGGGCAACGGGCTCCCCCCCCGCGGCTACGACCCCGGCAACGACACCTACCAGGCGCCGCCCAAGGAGCGTGCTGGTGTCACTGTTCAGGTGGCTCCTACGTCGGATCGTCTGCAGATCCTTCAGCCTTTCCAGCCCTGGGACGGCAAGGACGCCAAGGACATTCCCATCCTGATCAAGGCGCAGGGCAAGACCACGACTGATCACATCTCCATGGCCGGCCCTTGGCTGAAGTACCGTGGCCACCTGGACAACATCTCCAACAACATGCTCATCGGCGCCATCAACGAGGCCAACGGCGAGGCAAACAAGATCAAGAACGTCACCACTGGCGACTGGGATGCTGTGCCTGCCGTCGCCCGTGACTACAAGAAGAAGGGCATCAAGTGGGTTGTTATTGGCGACTGGAACTACGGCGAGGGCAGCTCGCGTGAGCATGCCGCTCTGGAGCCCCGTCACCTTGGTGGCCTCGCCATCATCACTCGCAGCTTTGCTCGTATCCACGAGACCAACTTGAAGAAGCAGGGCATGCTGCCCCTTACCTTCGCCGAGCCGGCCGATTATGACAAGATTAAGCCTGAGGACAAGGTGAGTTGTCGCTCCTGCCCATCTTCAATTCGCCCCTTTCACTGGCAGACTGCTAATGTTGCTTGCTTCAGGTCGACATTCTCTGCACCCAGCTTGCCGTTGGCAAGCCCGTGACCATGGTTGTTCACCCCAAGGATGGCAAGTCCTTCGAGGTTCAGCTGCAGCACACGTTCAATGAGGCCCAGATTGAGTGGTTCAAGAACGGAAGTGCGCTCAACACCATGGCCAAGGCCACCAAGTAAAGGACGAAGCTCTTTTGCTTGCTAGTGATGTGTACGTATCGGAGTGTATATGGGGAGCGAGTGGGTTGAGATCGTGACGTATATCCCGTCTGCGCTGATTTGACGCAAGAAGCGAATCGTGGAGGAGCAGTAGGAGGACGAAGACCACAGCACCCCTCCCCACAGGAGCATTTGATGCTAAAGTCTAGTGTATTATTGGCTCGTAAGAGCTTTTGATTTCGTCGTTCTCTCAGTATTTCCAGAAACTGAATAAAAATTCGTAAAATGGAATGATTATGTGCGAAGATAAACTTAATGAAACGCGGGGTTCTTAGACCTTACTACTACCTACTCTATGGTTAGCTACCAGAACTAAGGAGTTGCTTAATTAAGTCTCAGTCATAGAGTAGCTGGCTCCCTTTTTGAATGAGGAGTGCTATTCGTAGAGCTGACTTTTGCTAGTTGTACAGCCGTCCTACTTTTCTCGGCCACGACGTGCTCCCATGCTACTCCACTAGTGCAGGCATAGGACGATAGCGGCGCTTTTCTTCCTGTGGGCAATTTGCTACTTTCTAACATCATTGCTGCCGCTATTATTGCTGTCGTTGCTGTCGTTGCTGTCGTTGCTGTCGTTGCTGTCGTTGCTATCGTTGCTGTCGTTGCTGTCGTTGCTGTCGTTGCTGTCGTTGCTNTTGCTGTCGTTGCTATCGTTGCTGTCGTTGCTGTCGTTGCTGTCGTTGCTGTCGTTGCTGTCGTTGCTGTCGTTGCTGTCGTTGCTGTCGTTGCTGTCGTTGCTGTCGTTGCTGCCGTTGCTGTCGTTGCTGTCGTCGCTGCTATGGTAGGGTGGGCTCTAAAAGTTAGCTCTACGAATAGCACCAAGTTAGTGCGGTAGTCCTTTCAAATGGCGGCAGAGACTTGGTCCTGCTGTGGTCACGTGGCGATAAGAGCTCCTGGTCGTGCCTATCGGGCGCCATCCAAAACCACTGCGACCAGATCTCCTGGCGTGAACTTGAAGGGAAAGGATGCGAGCGACGGTCGGTGCGACAGCGACACCGTCCTGATATGACCAGGTTAGATCTGGCCGCATTCAGAACGCACACTCACTCCAAAGCGGCAAGCTGCCGACGCCTTCGACGCCACGAGAGCCCCGTCCACGGCACCGCCGTGCAGTTTCACAGTACTAACGATGCCTGCGATTCAGGGCTTCAGCGCCCTTCGGGCTCGGTCCTATGTCCTACGACTCCCGCTGTTCACCAGGGCAATCGCCGTCATTATTTTATTTTTCTGGCTGTTGAGCCTCCCTTCGATATGGGATGTGAGCAGCTGGGGGGCCTTGATCCCCGACAAGGTCTCCTTCGTGTCTGGTATGTCCCGGTCCCCTCAGATGCTCGCTGGCGTGTCGGAGCACGCGCGTCGTAAGAGTCATCTGACTTGAGACGTTTGTAGCATACCGACTCTCGACTTTTCCGCTGGTGCATTTGAACTTGATCCATGCGGCGCTCAACGTCATTGCTTTGACACCCCTGATGGAGCGCTTTGAGAGCGAGTACGGCACCCTGACTACGCTGGCGCTCTTCTTTGGACGTGGGTTACTCCAGGCGCATTCAAACCTGCCCAGCTGACGTTGTATCCAAAGCCTTGACTACCATTCCCGCGATTTTATATCTTGTCATCGAAGCCGGCATCCTTCGAGGAAACCACGCCGTTATGGGCGCGAGGTTAGTCAAGATCGCACTACGAATACCATTCGAAGAACACCGGGCTGATATTCTCTCGCTAGTATGTGGGTGTTTCTGCTGCTCGGGGCAGAGGCAATCCGGACGTACCGGTCAAATCCGCACCTCGTTATCGCGACCTACCATATACCGACCTGGACGACGCCGCTCCTCATGATATTTGTCGTCGCCGTTCTGATACCAAGCACAAGCCTACTTGGACACCTGTGTGGTGTTGGTGTCGGCTATCTCGGTAAGGGGCCGCCCGGCAACCGCATTCCTCATGCTTCATACGGCTTCATGAACCTTGGGCTGACCTGCTCTACGAGTAGCTGGTCTAGGTTATATCAAGTTTCTCGCGCCTCCAGAGTGGGCGCTGCGCTGGATAGAGACGCGACTGAACCTCTTGGCCCTACTTCCGCACTATGTGAGCGTGGACCAAAAGACGTTTGGGCGGTTTGGGGTGTTGCCCACGACGACCCGTGCCGGAGGCAGTGCGGCAACGGAGCTCGTCGGTAGCACACAGCGTCTAGGGCCGTGAGCTCCGGAGTTGCAGGCGCAGTCGGGGCAATTTCAACGTGGGTAGAACGCCGACCGTCCTGTACGATTGTGGGTGAGAATGGCGAGGCTAGATGTGCATGCACAGGAGTTCGGGTACAGTTCCTGCAATATGTTCAATTACTTTACAAGTATGTCCGGAAGCACGATGTTGCTCCTGGGGGTGTACGATAGAGGTACAATGACAATGACAATGACCGCCCTGGGCGATGAGTGCAGCAGGGTAGTCGGTGCATTTTTGTAAGGGAGCCGGATGCATGCTATGTTTCGTGTCTGTCTCTTATACACATCTAGATGTGTATAAGAGACAGGTACGATAGAGGTACAATGACAATGACAATGACCGCCCTGGGCGATGAGTGCAGCAGGGTAGTCGGTGCATTTTTGTAAGGGAGCCGGATGCATGCTATGTTTCGTGTTGTCACGACGAGCAAAGTCACAAGCAGCAGCAACTCAGACCCCTGACGTCTGAGCTTATCCCCTCTGGGAACTGTTGGTGTTTGGATGTCGAGGACAGGATCGGGGTCTCACGAGCATATCGCGCCTGAGCTTGGCCCCGATGCCAATCGTCGGTGCGTGGTGGTGCCAGTCTATACTGTAGTTATATTCCCTCCCATGGCGACCAAACGAACAAGGGATGCTGGTGGCTCACGCCGTTAAATTCGTGGCAACGTCGAGCCATAATCCTCAGAGGATGTACTGCCAAGGCACTGCAAAGACCCGACTGGAGCCGTACGGCTGCCGCAGCGACTTTGCTGCGTACTTGAAGATTAACTTCCTCATGTATGGTCGATTCTCGCAAAACGCCCGTGAGGACTTCCAGGTTGCCCACCGTGGACCCGACCGCGCCACGGGGTAGGGGTACGTACAGTGGGGGCGTACCTACATTCGTCCCTCCTCATGCCTGTGGACCGGAGCTTGGGCCCCCACCTCCGGCCGGCCGGGCGCAGCTGGAGGTGCCCGGCCAGCAAGGCCAGGTAACTAAGGTAATCCGCAGGGATTACGGCACCCCGTACCTCTAGTACCTGGCCTAAATTCGACAGCTCTCCTGATCGGGCGGCCACGGCAACCCTTCCTCCAAGCATCGCCAGGACGCGAAGGCTGCCGACATGTCGCGACTCCTATGTAAGCCTCTCTATCCCCTCCCAGCTTTCCATGCAATCGATGCGTTCGCGCCCACTGCTGACACGACCTAGCTTCGGCTTTGTCGCTGCGGCGTGACCCGCGCATGCTGAAGCTGCCCCCGTATCTGTCACTGCTCTGCATCATCGTCGGCGTCGCCTGGCTCCTCCTGTTGCCCCTGGATAGCTATTCGAGACGGACGTACATTTCCGAGAACGCACTCTTGCCAGGCCAAGTCCACACGTACTTCGGTGGCAGCGAACAGAACGTCTTCCGCGCTTACCGGCACGAGTTGGACGACCTGCGCGACAAGGATAACTACGCGTAAGTTTCCAACACGGCTGGCCTTGGCATTGGCCGCTGAAACTGTCTCCTAGGATCAACGATAGGCTTGAGACGATACTCAAGGGGCAAGGGATCAAGGTCGGTCGCCAAAACTACACCTATCACTCGGCAGGCGAGGCGTACACGGGCGAGAATGTATACGGTATCCTGCAGGCACCGCGTGGCGACGCGACCGAGGCCATCGTCCTCGTTGCTGCATGGAGAAGCGTGGAGGGTCAACTGAATCGCAATGGCGTGGCTCTGGCCCTGACCTTGGCTCGCTACTTCAAGCGCAAGTTCCCCTTGCCTGCCCTCTCGGCCCCCTTGACGCAGGGTTGATTTGGGCTGACAAGCTCCCGCAGGCTGGTCTCTCTGGTCCAAGGACATAATAATTGTTGTGCCGCCCGACAGCAAGACTGGCACTCAGGCCTGGGTCGACGCGTATCACGACGCCCACGACTCCAACAAGGTTGCGCCACTCCCGTTGAAGTCTGGCGCCCTGCAAGGGGCCATCGCCATCGACTACACCTCGGAGCAGCGGTTCGAAGGTCTTCACATCATTTACGACGGCACCAATGGCCAACTTCCAAACCTCGACCTCATCAATTCGATTGTAAATGTTGCAAGCGGACAAATGGGCATTCAGACGGCGATTCAGGACATGAAGCATCATACGGACCGCTACCCCGATCGTCTGCGAACAATGCTCCGGGGCATGCTCAATCAGGGCCTCGGAATGTCCGCCGGGCCTCACAGCAGCTTCATTCCATATCATGTCGACTCCGTGACGTTACAACCATACGGGGATGGCTGGCATGACGAAATGGCCATGGGCAGGGTCATTGAAGGCACCTTTAGGAGCCTCAACAACTTGCTCGAGCACCTGCATCAGAGCTTCTTCTTCTACCTTTTGATGCATAGAGACCGCTTCGTCAGTATTGGCACCTACTTACCCAGCGCCATGCTGCTATCGGCGAGCTTTACCATTATGGCCATCTTCTTGTGGATGAAAAGTGGGCAGACAAGTTCCCAAGACACTGCTCGCACGTCGGCGTCTTCGGCCATCAAATCCGCGGGGCGGGCGAACAAGCCGGACGAGTCTATCATCCCAGCAAGTCAGGCTGTCGAACGCGATCTGTTTCTGCCTCTAGGAATAGTTGCAGGATGCCAGGCCGCATCGCTCTTGCCCCTTTTCATTTTCAACAACCTTCCGTCGACGGTATGTTAAGTCCCCCCCTTTTCTCCAGTTTGGCTATGTTGTAGTGGCAGAGTGAAGTGTATCGTGGGCTTACCATACAAACTCTGCAGATGCTCTCCGGAGCCTTTACCCTGTTCTGCCTGGCGTCGGCTGCGTTGCCTTCTGTCGTGTCTCATACACTATCCACCTTCTGGACTCCTACCGCACAGCATTTCCAGCTCACGAAGTCTTTCTCCCTGCTCATGCTCGGCATGTCGCTTGCCACACTCGCTACCTTGAACTTCTCCCTGGCATTTCTGGTAGGGTTGCTCGCGAGCCCCCTCTCGTTCGTTCAGCCGACGCGCAGCATCGTTGCCCGGTATTTGATGGCCGGGCTACTGAGCGCTGTGGCGCCACCGGTGGTCATTTACACGGCGGCACAAATGTTGGGATTATCTGTTGCGGATGTATTGCGCGAAGCGAGTTTCGGGTGGAACGTGTGGGGAATGTATACGGCTGTCGTGGTCTGGTGTGTTTGGTGGCCAGCATGGCTGGTAGGAATGGTGAATGCTCTAGGCACACCCTCCGGAGACGAATAGAGATGGATCATGTCAATGTCGATAGACTTCTCAACACCTCCCCAAGTCATGGCGGCGCTACGTAGCACAGCATACACCTTGGGAGTGGTTGAAGAGGCTGCTACCAGATGGAGGCATTACAACGACGTAGACGGTCCTGTCTATTAAAGATCATACTGTACAAGTTCTAGCCCCTGGACCGCTGTACGGCCTGCTCAAATCCAGCAGGCACCTGGCTCCACTCCGGTCCGGCCGTGCTTCATGCGGCCCAGACGTCCTTCCCGGCCGTCTCGATCCAGTTGCCTAGCTGGTTGACATTCGAGTCCCAGTCAAGCAGCCTTTCCCGCATGTTGCCAATCTGTTTCATGTCAAGAACCTTGGGCTGAACCCATGTGATTTGCGCGACCTCGTCCACTTGGTCAATGGTCCCCCTCAGCAAGCCGAGGCTTAGCGCTTTCATGATGAGATGTTCGATCTCATCCGGTCGGACCTTGGTTTCTTGGGAGATGGTTGAGAATGTCATGGTCCGGTCATGGGGTGGGCGGCGGAACACCGCCTCAGTCAGCGCCGCGAGATAGATCTTCTGTCGGAGGTGGGTAGAATTCTCGTTCAGAAGCTTGTTGGAGGCGATGTTGTCGGACAGGACATCGTACGCAGCTAGATCGCCACGGTTGTACGCAAAAAGTAGCTCGCGCAGCCAAGCGTCATCCTCGCTCTGGGCGAGAGCGTCTAGGATGGGATGTAGAAGCAGCTCGCCGAAGTTGTAAATGCTGTTGGAGACCAGCGCAGCTACGCTGAGGTAGTACGCTCTCCTGTGGCGCTCCTCAGGGGACAAGGACGACAGATCGATGCAGGCTAAGTAGAGAAGGGCGTTTCGATAGTAATTGGCGAAGTCCATTTTGCGCTACATGACTAAAGTTAGTTTAAGTCTTTCCAAGATGGCGGATGCCCCCTTTGCGCGACACTTCAGGGCGGGCGGCAGGACAAACATACCTGGTAGTAGCTGGCGTTTGCATCATAGAATGCGGCGTGAACGATAGTTTCGACCGAATCGAAGGTGTCCAGTATTCTCTCGGAAGCGTCCAGGTCTTTCCTCGCGTCATCCAGCTCGTTCAGGCTGAGCTTGACCCGTGCGACAGCGACTGAGGCGAAGACGAGAGCATCCTGCGAATTCTCGTTGTCGACCTTCTTCACAACCGTTTGCAGAAACGCCAAGCGCTCCCTGTCATCTGAAATATGCTGTTAGTCTCGCCGCCGTTCTCCCTTTGATATGCCAGGCCTCGCTGTTACCTTTGCATTGCGTCGCGGCCTTCAAAGCCAGATCCACCAACTTCAGCTGGTTGATCTTGTCGGCGAACTTGAGAACGAAAACCTTGTAAAACGGCAAGCGCTGCGGGGCGCTGTCAGGGTGGTCGAAAAACTGCACCAGGGCATCTGTGAGTTGGTGCCAGAGCTTCCGCTCCCAGAAGTTCTCAAAGTCCAGCACAAGGGGCTGGAGCTCCTCTGCGGTTTGGTCCCGCTGCTCGGCGAGGAAGTCGGGGATCGTATCGACATTCATCTCGAAGACTCGGCCCGAGTGAGGCTGCCTGAACCGATGACCGAGGAAGAGCAGGTGACGGTCGAAGAGGTTGGTCTAGCTTGCGGCTGCCAGTTGCCTGCGGCCAAACGACGATGTTCGTCACGGGAAGTCGGAAGTGCACGGAGTTGCGAGACTAATTGAGGAAGTCGGTTCGGGTATTGTTGCTGCTCGTCGAACAGTTCGTTGTGGTCGATGGCTATGGTTTGGGGTGGGCGGGTTGGCAAGGCGAAGGTGATGGAGCTCGCCAACGCGGCTGTCTCGCAGCCTGCAGCTCAGGCAGGACCTGGTCCGCTGGTACGTTGCGGAGCTGTGGGGGCTGCAGGTCGGAGCACAATGGCTGAGCCGGGGACTAGAGGCGAGCGTGACCGATCACGTGATCTCAATTGGCAGTCCGCGGCTTCATCTAGCGCACCCCCGGCCCCAGCGAGCCGATGTCGAGAGCATCGACAAACCTTCAACGAGGGCAGCGCCATACGCAGGCAGTCAGCAAGGAGTTCAAGTCTTTGCTGCAGGCTCGTCAATTGCAAAGCATGGCGTCTCCTCTCTCAGCTGCGCGCTCTGCGCGCAAGGTCGTTCACAACGTTGCCGGAAAGCGCTTCTTGTCCGACATCTCCATCACCAGGACTGGCAAGCCAATCATCCGGGTTGAAGGCGGCCGGTGAGTGCACGCCCTCTGCCGACCCGGAGACTGACGGCGCTGACACTATTCCTAGATCGTCCCTCGGAGGTGCGCATCGAGTAGCGGCGAACGATGACTGCCGGCAGAGTCGCTAACTGTACCCCATAGGCCACACGGCTACGGTATTTGGCGCAACCGGCCAATTGGGCCGATACATTGTCAATCGCCTAGGTAAGCGACGGTATGCAGCTCGAGAGATGTCCCCAGAGGAACTTACACGTATTCGTCAGCGCGCCAGGGCTGTACCGTTGTGGTTCCGTTTCGCGAAGAGATGACCAAGCGGCACCTGAAGGTCACGGGTGACTTGGGCCGCGTTGTCTTCGTGGTAGGCACTCCTTGAAGCATATTAGGCGTGATCATGGGGTAACAACGAGATAGGAGTACGACCTCCGCAACACATCCTCGATCGAGGCGAGCGTTCGACACTCCGATGTTGTGTACAACCTGGTTGGCAGGGACTACCCTACCAAGTAAGAATGGCGTGTCCTTGCCACGATAATTTGTGATCTGACAGGGGACGACAGAAATTTCTCCCTCGCCGATGTTCACATCGAGGGAACGGAGCGTATCGTCGAAGCCGCTGCCAAGTATGACGTTGACCGATATATTCACGTCTCGTCTCACAGCGCCAACCCGGAGTCTACTTCCGAGTTTTACGCAACCAAGGTCAGCTAGCGTAGCGGAGCCTCTCTCGCCAAGATTGTCGCTGACTGAGTCGTTTTGATACAGGGCCGAGGAGAGCAAGTTGCGCGAAGCATTTTCCCCGAAGCGACCCTCGTCAGGCCGGCGCCCATATTCGGGTTCGAGGATAACCTGCTTCTCAAACTGGCGTCTGTCCTCAATCTTTTCACGGCCAACAACATGCAGGAGAAGTTCCGACCCGTTCACGTATGTGTTCCTCGAGCTATGCTAGCAAGCCTGCCGTGCTAATGACGCCGTATCGGTTACCTAGTCCATCGATGTGGGAGCAGCCCTGGAAAAGATGCTGTACGACGAGTCGACGGTTGGCCAAACGTACGAGCTGTACGGTCCCAAGGAGTATACGTTGGCCCAGATCGCCGCCCTTGTGGATAAGGAGATTTTCAAGCAGCGACGCCATATCAACGTACCCAAGGCTATCTTGAAGCCCGTGGCCGGCCTTCTTAACCGTGCACTGTGGTGGCACACTCTCTCGGCCGACGAGGTTGAGCGCGAGTTCATGGACCAAGTCATTGACCCCGAAGCCAAGACCTTCCGGGACTTGGGCATCGAGCCGGGCGACATTGCGAACTTCACCTACCACTACCTGGTGCGCCCCTCCAGCAAGAGCAGAAACACTGCAGCTTTACTGACCGCATTTACAGCAAGGATTCCGCAGCTCACACTACTACGACCTGCCCCCGGCCACGGAGAAGGAGAAGAGGGAAGACAAGAAATACATCCACGTGCTGGACGAGTTGTGAGTCGGGAAGGGATGGCAGGGCAAGGACATGTTAGCGACAGCCGCCGACGCTCAAGGCTATTGACAAGATGGCCGCAGTGAGTGTCGAATGAGGAGAGGAAGAGGCAGTGTACGTATTATATGGCTACAAGCCTTAGATTTAGATTTGCGACAGCAATCTGCACCGGTTTCGTTTGTGCTGCGATGAGCATAGGAGGTAGGCGTTGCCTGGCTCTCAGAACTTGAAGCCAGGGCGCCAGGATGTGTATGTGGTAGAGGGGTTCTGGCGCTGCGTGGATGACCTCGGCCGAGAACACTGATTTTGTCTGCGCATTTGCTTGCCAAAGGTCAACATGGTGCACGTACTTTGTTTGGATAATTCGATAAACCGCAGATGCGCTGGCCGGATGCCCCTTTTGGGGTGCAACTCGTACGCTTTGCCTGGGGCGGTCAGAAATCTAACGGAAGCAAACCCAATTTTTCCCCATCCGCCAGCGGGAACCAAACGCATTCAGTCTTTCTAGACACATCGTAACACCCACCCCCCAAAGGCAGATAGCCTTGCCTCCTTGCTTTCCAGCCTCGACTTCGTCGCCGACGAGCCCTGCACAGAAAAGCGCATCCACAGACTGCGCCATGGCAGACCGTGAGGATGAGCCCGTGTAAGGCGCAACTGCCTGGGCGATCTGCGACAAGCTTGTGAGCTAACTGCCTGCTCCCCGGGGACCCAGAACGCTCTCCGCCCATGCGCTGGCGGCGCTGGCGGAGTTTCAAGCCGAGAAGCAAGATTTCAGGGCCAAGTTCGACAAGCTCCGCGCCGAGGCTGAGGGCGACGAGCCTTTGTCCATGGAAGCGTTCACCGAGGACTGGAACGCATCCCAATTCTGGGTACGTCAGGATAAAGTCGCTCTGGCGACAGCTCTCCTTTTCCGGCACCCCCTTTTCTCCTCGGCTCAACCCCCAGTGTCCTAGGAGGGGCGGTGATGGGGATTTGGCTCGCCACTGACTGACGGCTTCAATGATACGAACAGTACTCGGATGAAACGGCGGGCAAGCTCGCCGGGCAGCTGCTTCAGGACGCCACCAGCGAGACCACTATTGGTGTCATATCGACCCCAAGTGCCTTTGTGGCTCTGCGCAATGCATTGGTAGGCGAGGACCTCGTCCTTTTGCACGTGAATTGCAGCACTCATGCTGATACTCGACACTTGCGTCCCTTTCGAGCAGCGGACTACGCCAAAGGCGGAACGGCCTCGGCTGGTGCTCCTCGAGTACGACGAGCGATTCCGCGTGTTTCCAGAGTTTGTCCCGTACGACTTTCACAGGCCGCTTGATTTGCCAGGCACGTCTTCTCCCTTGAACGAGTCACGCCGGAACTATCGCCGCCCTCACCTGCGGACTTCGAGCGCACTGAACGGCTGCTGACGGATCTTCGGCTATTGCAGCCGCGCTGAAGGGCTCCCTTGATCGTGTCATTTGCGACCCCCCTTTTCTTAGCGATGACTGCCAGACGAAGAGTAAGATGCCATCCTCCTTGACACGCACTCGCGCATCCCAGTCTAACACGCTTGTTTCCATGTCCGCAGTTGCCCTCACAGTCCGCTGGCTGCTCAAAGTTGGCAGTCCATCGCCTCCTCGCGTCGTCATTTGTACCGGTGAGAGGATGGATGGCCTGGTGACCAAGCTCTACCACTCACTGGGCGTACGCACCACTACCTTCGTGCCCGAACACCCCACCGGACTCAGCAACGAATTCTATTGCTGGGCAAATTTCGAATGCCCGCTGTGGACATGGCGTCAGCGCGCGGAGTAGTCTGCTATTTCACCGGGCGAAAAGGATGCGTGAGTCCCGCATCACCTTACGAAGCACGGAGTGACTTATTTTCCTAACCAGAGCCTTGCAGGAACGAAATCCGCTCTGGCAGGTTCCAGATTCAGATGCATGGGCGCATTGACGACAGCGGTCAGTTCATTCTTGGAGAACGGCGGATGTCGTGATTCGAGCAAAGACATACATACATACATACTTGGGCATGCATGTATATTTGTATATACTGAAGATGGTATCACTATTAGAACTAGTGGCTAAAGAGCGTTCCTTGCGCTGTGATATGCAATCTCCGGCTTGATTGAAACATGTTCTTCAAGTCTCAGCGCCGCCGTGGGTATTCATGCAAGTGACCGAATGATGTAAAACAGGAGGTACGCCTGGGCGCCGAGAACGTCGGATATGCTGGCGAGCTCGACCTTGTGGTCGTTGAACTTGAACCACTGCGGCAGCTAGGTCAGCAAGAGGCAGTCCAGAAACGGTGGCAACGACCCGAGCACAGAGAAGGAGTGGCCATCATGCTGCTCAATAGCTTACCTGGTCGCCAACGCGGCAGTATGAGACGTAATGTCCCGTTTCGATCTCGCCAACGTGCACAACCACGCTCAGCAAGTCGTATGTGCAAGAGCGCTCCAGCTCCATATTTTCGCGGCTATCGCGACTCCGAACCCGGGCCGTGTACGGAAGCATGTTGAGCTGAAGAGGGAACTGGACAACATTGTCTATCTTGGACGCGGCGCGGTCGTGTCTGCCCTGTTTGTACTCGAAACGCTAGAGATACGTATTTGTGAGCGGGCGACGGCAACACGGGGCGAGAAATCAGGCCTGCTTACCTTGAGTTGTATCGACAGCACATTCGGCAAGCGCTTGATGCTCGTATACCTCCTAGCTTGCTGCGAAGAGGCGCAGCTGTGGCAGCGATATTCGCACTTGTCGAACTTGACGTACTCTTCGTCAAGGCAATCCGTCAGTGTCAAGACCGGTGCTTTCTGCCCGGTCTTCTTAATACGCCTCTGAGTCAGGCTGTCTAACCCAAGGCTAAGGTCCAGGAACGACTGCACAGCATGCGTACTGCCCTTGCAGTTCTGGCATGTGGTTGTTGTTTGCATCTTGCCGTAGAAAGTCTGATGGACGATGCAATTGCAGCTATGTTCGCTGCCAATCTCGGGGCGTTTCCCGTCGCCGTTGCGTTCATGTAACTCTTCGGCCAAGAACTGGAAGAACTCGTGTGCATCCTGCTCCTTGGTGGTGACAAGGTTCTCAAAGGCCTTCTTCTCTGAGATCCAAAATCCGGACAGGATATTGGCGGCAGTGTAGCCATTCGTATTCTCCAGCGCGTAGAAGTCCTGGAACATGTCGTCCATGGCACAGCTCAGACAGTGTGGTACATTGCAATCGTTGCTCTGATGTCCGTCGCTCAAGTAGAAATTGCGCAACAATGGATTATGAAGGAAGCTCTGGAGCACCACATTTTGATAACACGTCGCTCCGGCGTTGTAAATGCCGCGCAGTCCGTTTGCCCGACACGAAGCCGTCGTTGTGTTTGATGCAATCAACCTCGGGTCATCCTTGATGGAGTCTGTGAAGAGCTCGTCGTGTTTTCTCTTCCGACCTGCAGTGCTACTTAGCAGTCGAAGAGCTTGGAGATAGAGTTGGCCAACGTACCTGAAAAGGAACCTGTCCCTATCTTGCGAACGCGGAGTTCCTCGAGGGTAGGATCCCATACCAGGTCATCGCATATCTGACAATAGAGAGAGCCGCTGCGAGAGTCGACATCTTGCGGAATGTGTTAGCTGGAGACCTCGCTCAGACAAGGGCGACTTTTCTGCGACGTACAGAAGCGATGCTGTTTCTTGGTGCCATGCTTCAAGCGATCCTCCTCAGTCACGGTCGTGGGGCATTGCAAACAGAGAAAGTTGGAGGTGAGGGAGGTGACAGGGCGTCCCTCGTGGTTGGTCGAGGTCTGGGGCACGATGGGGGTCGCATCGAAGATGCCTCGTAGAATCATCTTGTAGTGGGCGATCGAGCTGTTCATGACCTCCTGCCCTTGGGACAACAGCAGCTGCACATGCTCTGCATCGCGGGCCGCTTGTCAGCCAGTGGATTACTTGGCGAGGCGCCGGGAGAACCGAACATACCACAGCCGAACATGGGCGTCCCCACGGCCGGGGACTTGACTCTCGCATTCTTGGGGGATGCCGGTGTCGCAGGACGTGTGGACATGATGCGAGAGGAGGTGTTGAGGCTTGGACAACTTGTTCTGGTGGCAGGCGCTGTGCGACGGGCCACAAAGGGCAGGCCGAAGGGCGATATAGGGTGTTTCGTCGGAGACGGCCGTCGCCACGCAGCAGCAATTGAAGATGTGGCTGCTTGAGCCGGTCGCTAACAATAGCGCGACTTGCTTGTCGGAGGCCGCGGTGAATCTGAAGTCTATCTTTCCGGGATAGCCGCGGTGTCATTAGCTATCCGTGCAGAAATGACGGGAGGTGTCGGCGCGCGGAGGAGCGTCTGTACTTGCTCTGGTAGGCAAGTCTTGACTCGGGCAGGAGGGGATTGAAGGCGAGGGGGATCAAGGGGGCCGGCTTACCTTTGCTTGCCGTTCCGGCGCATCCAAGCCTCAAAGGAGGGCCTGGTTTGTGAACAGTGTGCCGTCTGTGCTGCTGCGTTAGCGACGGGTGGCGGACGCGGGTAGGTTGGCGTTGGCTGGGGAAGTCGTTCATCCACGGATGCTCGCAGTGCGCGATAAGCCTCGATAAGCCGGCCGACCACTTTAGCAGAGCCGGGGCCGATCCAGGGGACATTGGGTGTACGGGCGGGTACCCTGCCCTGCCTGCGTACCTCTGTAGTGCGTTTGGGTGAGGCGCTCCAGCCGAGCGCATACCTACCTAGGCGCTGCAGTACCTCCCAGCTAACAGTACCTGACACTATATTGCTAGGCGCCAAGTTACGTAGCGCTGTACTTTGTATCCGTCTACCTCTGGAGAGGTAGGGCAACTCCGGTAACGATTCTGCTATTAACCTCAGGCTCGGCATCAAACAAGGCGACTCTCAGTTCCTTCCTAGGTAGACCCTTCATCTGGTGCTTGGCACACAATTCCCCCTGCCTGCTGGCCGTTCGAGGAAAGGGAGCTCGTACTGGTACTTACTTGCGCGCGGCACCATCCCCAGCCCGAGGGGCGCTCCCAAATCTTGATCCCTGCACGTGACCTCGCGACCGTCGCGCGTTGCACGACGCGTCGAGCGTGCCAAAGTCAACAGCTTGGCGCTGTCACCGTCGTTAGCCTCCCTTGTGGCCAGCGCTCGCAGCATTATAACACCGGCGGCGAACTGTGCTTTGTGTGTTAAAATGGCGCATCAGTAAGAGATTCCATCCTTCGGCATCTCGCAAACACGTTACTCACCGCTTCTCCCACAGACCAGGGTTATCCGCATCGACCCCCAGCACCGCCGCCAAGGGCGTTCACCTCGGGAGACGTGTGCAGACGCCCGAGTCAATAAACCGGCTCCATCAACCATTCAAGTGTCCCGGATCGGCGGCCCGAAGCGCTGACACAACTCGCCCCTCAAGAAAGCGGAAACGGGTCGACTATAAGGGCGCCGACGGCGAGGTCGACGACGACAAACCATACACCAACGACGACCGGTTGGCACTTGCAACGCGTGACGCCAACAGGTTTCCTGTCTTCCAGCCCAAGGAGAAGGGATTCGTTTTCCGCAAGACCTTCTCGGTCCCTTTCAAGGACAAGAACCAAGGTGCCTGGAACCCAAGCCGCCCTCCCCCGACACTTGGGCTTCGCCAGGGAGCCGTCTTTGCGCCGAAGCCACTTCATGACCCAAGTGGCGAATTTGCCATTGTTCTCTACGACCCTACCATCGATGACAAGTCCAAGCCGGTGGACAATGGCAGCGAGGATAAAGTCGCTGCAGATGCCGCGCCCAGCCAGACCCTGGACGCACCCGTTGTGCACAAAAGCCTGGCGGAGATTCTCGGTATCAGGAAGAAGATGGACAAGGATCATCCGCGTGTCCCCGTTGTTCTCGACCCCAAACTTGCCAAGATACTACGTCCCCATCAAGTGGAGGGCGTCAAGTTCATGTATAGATGCGTGACGGGCATGATCGAAGAGCAGGCCAATGGATGCATCATGGCGGACGAGATGGGGTTGGGCAAGACACTTCAGTGCATTACCCTCATGTGGACTTTGCTCAAGCAAGCGCCAGACGCGGGCAAGTCCACGATACAAAAGGCCATCGTTGTCTGCCCGGCCAGTTTGGTCAAGAATTGGGCCAACGAGCTCACAAAATGGCTGGGTGCTAACGCCATCACGCCTTTTGCAATTGATGGCAAGGCCAGCAAAGAAGAGCTGACTCGTCAGCTTCGCCAATGGGCCATCGCGTCTGGCAGATCTGTCACGCGGCCCGTCATCATTGTCTCTTACGAAACGTTGCGACTGAACGTTGAGGAGCTCAAACACACAAAGATCGGCTTGTTATTTTGTGATGAGGGTCACCGCCTCAAGAACGGCGATAGCAACACATTCAACGCCCTCAACAGCCTCAACGTGTCACGTCGAGTCATACTTACGGGAACGCCCATACAGAACGACTTGACAGAGTATTTCTCACTTACAAGCTTTGCAAATCCCAACCTGCTGGGTTCCCGGCTCGAGTTCCGCAAGCGGTTCGAGATACCCATCTTGCGGGGCCGCGATGCCGATGCGTCCGAGGCGGATCGCAAACGAGGCGATGAATGCACGACGGAGCTACTTGGCATCGTCAACAAGTTTCTCATTCGACGCACCAACGACATATTGTCCAAGTACTTGCCGGTCAAGTATGAGCACGTCGTATTTTGCAACCTCGCTCCCTTCCAGCTTGATCTGTACAATTACTTCATCACGAGCCCGGATATCCAGGCCTTGCTTCGAGGCAAGGGTAGCCAGCCACTCAAAGCCATCAACATCCTCAAAAAGCTATGCAACCACCCCGACCTGCTGAACTTGTCGGATGATTTGCCTGGTTCGGAGGGCTGTTTCCCGTCGGGATACGTGCCCAAGGAATCGCGTGGCCGTGACCGCGAACTCAGACCCGAGCTATCTGGCAAGATGCAAGTGCTTGCCCGGATGCTCGAGCGCATCCGACAAGATACCAATGACAAGATAGTCCTCATCAGCAACTATACGTCGACACTGGACCTTTTCGAACGCATGTGCCGGTCCAACAAGTACGGCTGCCTTCGGCTTGACGGTACCATGAACGTGAACAAGCGCCAGAAGCTGGTCGATCGGTTCAATGATCCAGAAGGCGAGGAGTTTGTTTTTTTGCTGAGCAGCAAGGCCGGTGGCTGCGGCATCAACCTAATTGGGGCAAATCGTCTCGTCCTCTTCGACCCGGACTGGAACCCAGCAGCGGACCAGCAGGCTCTCGCTCGAGTCTGGCGTGACGGCCAGAAGAAAGATTGCTTCGTGTATCGCTTCATCGCCACTGGGACCATTGAGGAGAAAATCTTCCAGCGTCAGTCGCACAAGCAGAGCCTCTCATCGTGTGTCGTCGACTCTGCCGAAGACGTAGAGAGACATTTCTCCCTCGACAGCCTTCGTGAGCTGTTTCAATATCGACCGGATACGAATAGCGACACGCACGACACGTTCAAGTGCAAGCGATGCAAGCCGGACGGCAAGCAGTATATCAAGGCACCTGCGATGCTTTACGGGGACACGAGTACGTGGAATCATTTTGTCAACGACGGCCTCCAGCCGATCCAGGATCTTTTGCTGCGACAAGAGCATGCCCAGCCGGAGGTCTCCGCCGTCTTCCAGTACATATCGCACTGAGACACGAGACCACGGCGGCCTGCTATGTCAGGGAGAGGGGTGCGTACCGTTCGGCTCGAAATCCTGCAGATTCATGGACCCAAGGCACTCGCAGGTGCGGCAGAGGGATAGCCTTTTTGGCCGGGTGACCTGCTGTCAAAGTATGTTCAGGGCGTGCCTCACAATCGACGGATTACCATATCAATGACAGAGACGACAAGATTGGGTGCTACACGATTTGCTTCACCTATGATGGCTTAGCAGGTAGTGTTGCACTGGCAGGGATTGGCGACGTCAGACGAGCGCGACGCTTTTGGCATTTTGGGCGTGGTGGTGAAGCTCGAAGGCGGCCAGGGTGCGGCTGATAGTGAAGAGGAACCAAGTTATGGACCAAGAATGCCGAAGCTGTTCGCATAGACTAACAGTAGATCAGCTCAAGTTTGTACGTAATTGTTACTTCTAGTTGGCATGTCGATAGCCACTGTCTTCGACCGTAACGCTGGCTGGCTGGCGCAAAGCTAGTTGACTAGAGATAGGAAGAGAGGGAGGCACTAGAGCGACAGAGAAAACCTTGTATCAGCAGGTTGAGCGCGTCAAAGCAAGCTTAGCATGCGGCGCCATCCGCGAACATAGGCCTTTGCCGTGTGGCTTCAGCGACGGTCTAAAGTTCTGCGCGGGCGGGCGCATTACCCTTTGCGCTGCGCACATGTCACAAGGGTAGACGTGTCGCATGCTGGGTAGACCTTGTATAAAAGGCGACCTCGCTTCCATATCTGCGACCCTGTCATCGCTCAGCTTGCAACTCTCATATCTCCCCCTTGCCGCAAAACTAAGTTACTCACAGATCACCAAGTCGTGTCTTTGTCCATTTGTCTCGCCATGGGCGTGCCGATGTCGGTTCCGACGCCTCATCGCGACTGTGACTACGTGAGGTCAAACTTTTGGGACTATTTCATGAACACGCCGACCGAGATATGCGACTGCCACAAGGACCACAAGTGCCCCCGGGGTGAGCCGTCGATGCCCCCCTTGTGGGAGTTCATGGAGTTGGACCTGAACTGGCCCAACTACGCTTCCTGCCTCCCGCTACCGCCGGTCCCCACGATCGAGGTGAGGGACACGTGGACAGAGCCTCGCGACGACTGGTCCGCGTAGCCCGAGGAGGGCGCCATGGCTGCCTCAGATACCCACGGCGGTCGCTCAAGCAGCGGGATTCAACTTGGGGTATAGCAAGGCCAGGAGTGTCCCGCCCTCGGCCTCTGTGGCCAGACAAGAGAGTAGTACGTACGGACGAACCCAACGGCTCCCGCTAGTTACGACTTGCTAACCGCATAATGTTTCCAACCCAGACATGGGGATCGGGTTGGATTTGAGCGGCGCCTCTAACCATTTTTCTCAAGCTTGGGGTAGTCTGCACTTGTTGCTGGGGCCAGTACGGGTTCGACGGCCAGCGGGTCTGACGCGAAGGAGGGGCGAGGGCTTCATAATGCCGTGGTAGGGAGAGACGGTGTCAGTGTGGTCGATGCAGTCTTCACGGGCAGGAAAGTACGCGGGTGTGTCGTAAAGACTAGACCGACGTTGCTGGATAAGCCGGCTCCTGCCCCTGGCCGAGGCTCGAGTGCAAAGTGCTTCGAGAGCAAGTTGTGGCGTGCGCCGACATGTATCCATGGATGTTCACACTTGAAAGGGAGGCCCGCCCAGATAGCCCTGCGACAGCACCCGGCTTGCCTCCAGTACATAAGGTAGGTGGTAACTTACCTGCTAGGTACGGGCTGTTGGGCTGCTGCCCACCTCGCCCCCAGCACCCCATTAGTACCTTAGGTACTTAGGTACTTAAACCCTCCCTATTGCCTACAGTACTACAGTACCTTAGGTACCTACCTACCTGGGTACTTTATACCCTACTGTGGCATGGAAGGTCCCGTCGGGTGGAACCCAGCACCCACACGCCTGCTGTCCCTGGAGACCCAGGTCCGCGTGGGTGAGCCACTGAGAGGATGTGTTAACTGAAATTTCTCTCTACCCCCGTGCAGGCCCTCTTTCATCCGTCCTGCAGACCACGCTCGACGACAGCTTGTGCATCTGGCACCGCAAACGACGACCGTCTCCCACCCGCGAATCGTCATGTCTCTACAGCCCGGAGTCAACGAAGCGGCCGTCAAGGCGCAGTTTGCGCAGTTTTACCTGGAACGGACCACGCAGGAGCTGGCCGAGGACCTCGACAGGGTCAGAAACGCAGACGACTTCAAGGCCGACTCGGTCGCCTTCCTCGTCCACGCACTTCGGCAGGGCGCGGCGCAGTTTTCCGTCCACGGTCAACAGAGGACCGTATCCGATGCGTCAAAGCCAGCTGCAGGCCCAGGCGACGCCTCATGAGGGCCCGTGATGGGTGCGCATCCAGCCCTTCGCACATCGGCACCGAGTCCGTCGCATCACCACAAGCAGCACACCCACTCGCCGGGCATCGGCATACGCGAGCCAAGCGCCGCTGTCGGCCCTAGCTATGGCGGCCGGCCAGCTTTGGCGCGCGCAGAATGCCGCGCTGGGTGTTCACGCAAGTTCAAGGACCAATTGTCGCTCCGATGGGGTCTCCGACTCTATTACAGAAAGCCGATGCGGCCTTGCGGACGCCAAACTATCATTATTCAAAATCTCGCTCTACCGCCGCCACTGCTTTGACCTCCCGGGTCGCCTCCATGTGCCCTAGAAAAGCCAAGAGGGGCCCGTTATCGCGTCCTTCTCATTCAATCGTCAAGGGTATCTCAAAGGAAGAACAGTGAAGGATGAGAACCGAAAAGAATAGGAAAAGAAACATCGCAGCCAAGCTGAAGCAAACTTGCCTCAGAACCTCCAGTAACCTCGAAACATTCCGCGCTTGGAGAATGAACATGGTGGCGGGAAAGGTGTCCCGGGGTTGAAAGCGGGCCAATGTGCCTCCTTAAGCATAGGCAAAGCGAGGGGCAGTTTGCCTCTCCTTACGGGTAGCCCAGCCTTTGATGGCGAGTACCACTACTTCCCACGCCATCAGCATGCCCACGAGTCCCATCGTCACCGTGTACATGAACATTGCGTCTAGGTCATAGTGAATCATGCCGTCGACCGTGTCAGAACTCTGCCGTCACCGTTAGACGCCACTTTTTATCCCGCCCGGGGGCCGGGG